AGATATATAGATATACATACTGAAAATACAAATATCCCCTACATAGAATGTTGGGGAATGTTACTTTAGCAAGCACCGATTAAGACTGGTATTGCACATTTGGGAGTGATTTTGCCAACGCCACACCTGGTTGCCTTCGTCTCCCATATGCTGATGTCTGCACACTGCATCATGTACTCATTTGAGGCCGAGACGAGCTAGGTAGGGAAGGTGGAGAAGCAGTTCAGATAGCCACCACATGCATCAACCACTACACCACCACTCTCCACATATATGCGTCAAGACACACACACACATTGTTAACCACACACACACAATGCCACCATAAATCCAACCACGCATATAACATTTAACCGTTTGCCAGACGCACCCACAGGCAAACAGTCCCACCTTAAGTAAATGCCCTTGCCATGTGTCATCCTTCCCAAAGCCACACAAGGTGTTGCTACACCACAATGGTGACGAATGCAAAGCCATTGGAAGCCATGTGGAGTCAAACTGTATCAAAGAACAGGCAAGTCGACACAAAGAGGGAAAGGCCAAATACAGGGCCATTTAAAGTCAACGGGCAACCTTGCTTCTGTGTATGTATCCATAATAGAGGTTTTTGGGTTAGATCGCGTAAATATAATTGCGTGTCGTTAAACCCGCCACCACCAGACACAGCAAATAAGTAAGGTTTATCACGTAAACAAAACATGAAAATTCGTTACTAGTTCAGCACACCGGTGTGTTGGAGACTAAACCCACAACATTTACAATTCGAGTACGACGTTCCGCCAGTAACTACAACCAGCATCATCAGGCGGACAGCCAGAGTTGTGGAGAAATTCTACTGCTTCGGTATACAGTACGGCCCGGTTATCAATCCACTGTTGGATGAATGAAGGCTTCCCTATGCCGTGTCCATAATGAGGGCTGTTTGGCCACACTGTTTCACCATGCTGGTCAGTACGGGTTTATGAAGTGGGTGGGTGTGGGGGGGGTACCGGTGGAGGGGGGGGGGGTACAGCTGGTGTATCTGCCAGTCATCTAAATCAGCCAAACCCATGGCACCTGAGTCTGTCCCTTAACCTCCCATCAGCGAGCCTTCGACAATTCACGTGGACCCTCAGTGCACCTGGCCTGGCACGGGCAGGTGTTGGTATTGGTGCCCAGGACCAGGTTCGATAGCACTCGCCAATGTTTAGCCTTGCCTGTGAATCAAACTCGGGTAGTCGGGTCCATAGTGCAGTGCACGTGAGCAGTACATTGACACCCACCACACCCTTGACGAATGTACTTGGATAAAAAAAATACAGTCACAAGTGTTATCTTGTTGCCAATTAAACACACGGGGAATAAAGTCGCCTTTAATCACATTGTAAAGAGGAAATTAAGATGTTGATTTGAAGCTTTCGTGACTGCAGGAATCCATACTCTTTGGTTCTTTCGGTAAAGTCACGTGGTAGGTATAAAATAAAATAAATCACGACGCTTCGGGCGCACACACAAGCGTCCGCTTTCCCACCTGATGACGGACGCTTGTGTTGCGCCCGAAACGTCGTGATTTATTTTATTTTATACCTACGTGACTTTACCGAAAGAACCAAATAGTAGGAATATAAGATGTTATGACTCCACTGGAATAACAACAGTCCTTGTTATTAATACTTATAAATCCAATGGTCTTTTTGTAACACGTGTAATAATAACAATAAGCGTCCTTCATTTATCCTAAGAAAAATCAGTCCCGATGCTTCTGTTCTGAAGGATTGTTGCATGAAGATGTTTGGACAATTAATTTGAAGATCAAGTCCTGAGCCAAATGAAACTAAAGGGGAATCCGATATCAAATGCCAGAAAAGAACCCCGTTCTTGAAAATATTTAAAGGCGTGTCCCAGGGGCCAGATGCATGTACAGTATTAGAATGTTCTTGTGCAAGTGTGCTCTCTACTCATCCTCAATTAGTACTTGGTGTGGTGCGTATAAACATCGCCACTAAGAGATACAAAGGCGGCCGGGTTGTGTTGCTGGCCACTCACCACCACCCCCCCACGTGTGCCGTTCTGGTCTTCATAGGTGCTGTTCGCTAACAGCACTTGCCCCGACAGTCTGTTAAGGCTATACGGGAGATCTTTGTCTTTAAAGAAGCACCACAAGAGAAAACACAATGAACCAAGGCTTTTCAAAGCACACGCGGAGATCACAAGCTTTGAATTCCATTGACAGAAAGAGGACAACACATGGGTTAGAATGGTAAGTGAGCTTGGACAGGACACGTCATATGGCTAGAAAGTGATGATGGCCAACGGTTAAGTGCTGTAGAATGAGGCAGCCGAGGCCAGGAAATTGAAAGAATAGCTGTCAACCCATACGCTTTACCCGTATTCGTGTACAGGGAAATAGAGTTTTCAGGTCCATACGGCGTATAGCCGTTTCAATACGAGCAACATTTTTTTGTCTATTTGTTTGTGTTTCTCCCCTGTGATGGGACTTTGTGGGATGAACGTTGAGATTTATAAGGAGCACAGGGTGACCAATAAAGTCTGAACTGGTCTGCAATAAGAGGTAGGCACTGATAAGGGGTTGACAGGTATGGGAAAGTGAGTGAGGAAACGTCCACCGTGGAGATGGAGCGCTACAGGTGTTAATATCCATCTGATAAGATGTTTACAAAGTCGCTCTGATTTTAACGGTACTTATTTGAACAAACGCCCATATCGCATGTGCAAGAAATTCACGATCAATGCATACGACTTAGGGATCAGAAACGTGAGCCAACGCTAAAAAAACAAATGCACAAAAGATGGTGAGATGCATGTTTTGGAACTACGCTAAGATGTGAAATAGAACACATTGGACGAGGGGGAAAATGCAAAATCGGAGCCATCACGTTGGGTCATCAGCCAGCAGGAGATAAACCACGACTCGTCGATGAAAGCATGAGGAGATGCGTGCTTGTAATGACACTAAAGGAGACCAGAGGAACACGTGGATCAAGTGAACAAAGGCATCGTGTTGACGGTTAAGCAAAGGAAGTTGGTTTGGGCAGGACATATGATGATGGCTAGCTGCTGGAATGACGAATGATGAGACGAGACTGGTGAAAGAATGGCAGCCAAATGCAGAGACCCCCCCCCCCAGACCCCGTGAGTATCTTCTTCTGTCGTATGGATTCATAGCAGCAGATTAAAAGATGCAATTAAGATTTGATTTGAAGCTTTCGTGACTGCAGGGATTACTCATTGGTTTTTTTCCGTAAAGTCACGTATAAATAAGAAATAATAAAATAACATAATAGCGTACGACGTTTCGGTTGCAACACAAGTAGCCATCATCAGGTACAGAAGAGCTAAATTATGAGAGAGGGGAGACACATAACCTCAGATGTATATACAGACACCCAAGTAGGGGGAACTAACACAGATACAACAGGGGACACAGAGAGAGAAGCATACCAGACAAACAGGGTTTAGCAAAAAAATTTTGGAAACCATGTAAAGCAACACAGACTGTCGGTCAAAACACAATTAACGCATAGTCCGGTTGATCACGCTATTTTGCTAAACCCTGTTTGTCTGGTATGCTTCTCTCTCTGTGTCCCCTGTTGTATCTGTGTCAGTTCCCCCTACTTGGGTGTCTGTATATACATCTGAGGTTATGTGTCTCCCCTCTCTCGTAATTTAGCTCTTCTGTACCTGATGATGGCTGCTTGTGTTGCAACCGAAACGTCGTACGCTATTATGTTATTTTATTATTTCTTATTTATACGTGACTTTACCGAAAAAAAACAAAGAGTAATGCAATTAAGATGTTGTTATCCACTCAAGTGTTTGTTAAGACGCAGAGTTGTCTTGTGGTTGTTGTTGTTTGACTTGCATCCCACTGGGATTTTTTGCACACAGCGTTGGTGTACGGTGCTTTTATCAGGAATATTTTGCTGTTTTTTTTTTCATGGATTTTCTGTATGCACAGTCACACATAGTCACTTTATGATGTTTTTCTTGTTCGTGTTTTTGTTTGTTGTGGTTGCACCCGATTCAAGAGCCGAATGGCTCACAGGGCTATACCAAAATAAATAAACTGAAACTGAAAGAGTGGATCTCGTCCGTTCTTCCTTTAAAGCAGTGAAGAGAGCAGCCGTGATGGGGACGACTTTAGACTCCCCCCTTCATTTACAAAGCTTCCAACTGGTGTTGGTCACGACGTGCATGCGATGTATCTGCATTCTAGATTGTTGATTTTATCCAAGAGAAGACACGTGCTACTTTAAATGCTGATCCACACGGAAAATATTTTCAAGTAACGGTCAAGGGGATGGGTTAATTCATTACACGCGCACATATTTGAAGATACTTGGGCGGAACGTGATATCCGAACAAGTCTTGGGGTTCCACCTACATCAAACCCGCACACACCCAGAGTGGTGAAGTATGGTCAAACAACCCCATGAACACCCCGGGGGATTTCATCCAGCAGTGGATTGACAATTGGGGGGGGGCATGCGTTACATTTCCATTTAATTTCCATTTATTTGGTATAGCCCTGTGAGCCATTCGGCTCTTGAATCGGGTGCAGCCGCAATAAACAAAAAAACATGAACAAGAAAAACATCTTAAAGTGACTACTTGACTGTGCACACCTTACTATATTTAGTCCGCAGTGCATAACGATAATCGCGTTTAATTCGTGCGATCACATTTCATTAATTTCAAATCTACACTTATTCAAACGTTGCATCCGAAGCCTAACGCCAGACCAGGAGACACCGACCCTCGGATAGAATCACTGCCGGGATGGAGGCGCCAACTCCCGGCCGAGCTCGCCTGGTCCATGACCCCCCCCCCCTCCCCACCTCGTGCGATCGGATTTAAAAAAAACAAAACTCTCGCACCTCAACGAAGAGCCCGGAGCTCTACAGAACATCCGCCGTCAACCAAAAATCGCAAACTAAATCAATACAAACAATACAATTGTCATCCAGAGCGCGACTTAACCCGCTCACGACGCAACTCACTCAGTGGACGTGGTGGGGTTTCCCATTGGAGCGCAGTCCCCGACCGTGTGGGTGATTTGCAAGGGTTCTGGCTTCTTCTTGGGCATCTTTGTAGAGCAAATTTTTGTTGTTGTTGTTAAGCTTAGGTTTGAAGAAATGTAAAACAAAAAAAGAAAATGTTTCTTTAAACGTTCAGATATTTTTTTTGTGTTTTTTTTAAGGGGAGTATTTTTGAGGTTTTGTTTTACCGAGAGGCGCCGAGGGGGTAACAAACCACACGGACCCGCTACACACAACCACTAAAGCGCCGGGTTCCTCGGGCGACGATGACGTCACGCGGGCGACGCCCAACCCCTCCCCCGTAGCCCCGCCCACTTTCACACTGACCACGCCCTTTCGCTATCGCCCCCGCCTCCCTCTTTCAAGCCCCTCCCTTCAAGCGCGCCTACCCCCACCCCCTTCACGATCGCCCCCCCTCCCCCATGTATTAGTGGCCCAGCCACCCTCACTTCAAGCTCCTCCCCCTCAATTCTAGATTTAAAGCTTTCGTGACTGCTAGGATCCATACTCTTTGGTTCTATTGGGTAAAGTCACGTAGGTGAAAATAAAATAACAAAAAATCACGACGTTTCGGCCACAACACAAGCGGCCTTCATCAGGTGAAGGGACGAGACTGTCTGGAGGACAGCGCTGGAGTGGGAGAAGCCACGCTTAGATCACGACCTTTCGCCCCCCCCCACCTCCTCCAATACGATGGTGACGTCACCAGGGCGCCTGTGCCAGGCCAAGTGCACTTTAAGGCTACGTGAAGTTGTTGAAGGCTCGCTACTGGGAGGAGGAGGTCACGGGACAGACCCAGCAGGTGCCGCATGGGTTGGCTGAGATGATTGGCAAGATGCACCAGCTGTAACCCCCCCTCCCCCTACTGTGCCAGCTTGCTACGTTTTGGGGCCGTCCATAAATGACGTTACGCGATTTTGGACTATTTTTGAACCCCTCCCCGTCACACGGCGTCACAAAAAGTCAGACCGCCTCTCAAATATGACGTCACAAAGCTCTGCCCCGCCCCCCCCCAAAATAAAACATGCTTCAAATTGAATTTTGATTTAAAGCTTTTGTGACTGCAGGGATTCATATTCTTGGTACTTTCGGTAAAGTCACGTAGAAGGGAAACAATAAAATAATAAAAATATAAAACAATAAAATTCTCACAACGTTTCGACTGCAACACAAGCAATCATCATCAGGTGTGAAAACCACAGCAAGAAAATTTGAAAAAAGTGGTGGCTTTTTTAACGTTAGCACCACGGAGAGAGCGATTTGGCAGTTTATTCAGATGGACGAGTCCATCTATGTTCGGAAAAGAGGAGGGGGGAGACGAAAATAATGGATGCGGTCTGAAAGCCACCGTAAGCGTGAACAATCAATTAAGACCCGAAATGGTTTCTCAAATGCTTCCAATGATTGCTAAACTAGAATCCATCTTCTCGGTTGAAATTGTCTCTGTGTTTGTATATGTGGATAGCCTCATGAACGAATCTCTCATGGTAGCCAGATGACTTGCAAAGAACCTCTGTCTTGGAGAAGTCCATGTCATGTGAGCCTATTGAATTATAACAGTGATCTGCCACGGCCGAGGTGTTGGTCCGACCGTGTTTTAGGTCTGCTTTGTGTTCACGAATGCGGTCCGAGACATGTCGTTTGCTCATTTTTTTCGGTAAAGTTACGTATGTAGAAATACAATAAAATTATTTTAAAACAAAAAACAATCACGACGTTTCGATCACAACGCAAGCGATCTTCATCAGGTGTCAAGAACAAATCACGGAGGTAAATACAACTAAAAGATGAGAGACGAGAATTCAACAAACCTGAAAAAACATTATGTGAAGCACACCCAATGAGTAATTTTATGCAGTCACGAAAGCTTTAATACTTTATTATCACACTTCTACGGGGAAGTTACCATTGTAATTATGTGTAAGATGTGCCCTTTTCTGAGCTGCCGTTTTGTATTTACAAGAGGTGGTCATTTTTTGAGCTGCCGTTTTGTATTTACAAGAGGTGGTACTTTTTTGAGCTGCCGTTTTGTATGTGTAAGATGTGCGTGTTTGAGCTGCCGCTCTCGCTCTGGCCCCTCCCCCCATCCAACCGTATTTCCTATTTAAGCTTCTGTTCATCCCTCCGGCCCCCCCCCCCCCTCTCTGCCTCCCTGTCCGTCTTTCCTTCCTCCTTACCTCTTGGTGGACTTGTATATGTATTTCTACTGACCGTGTACCTCGTATTTTTCATTCTATCTATGCTGGTATGTGCAAACCAAAGGTTGAACACGAAATTTAACACTTCTGAAATTCGTGGTCAGCCAGGAAGTGTCTGTGTTGTTGGCCTGAATGGATGTGCTTCACATGTTTTTTCAGGTTTGTTGAATTCTCGTCTCTCATCTTTTTGTTGTATTTACCTCCGTGATTTGTTCTTGACACCTGATGAAGATCGCTTGCGTTGTGATCGAAACGTCGTGATTGTTTTTTGTTTTAATATAATTTTATTGTATTTCTACATACGTGACTTTACCGAAAAAACCAATGAGTAATTTTATGCAGTCACGAAAGCTTTAATACTTTATTACATGTCGTTTGGTTTCTCCAATGTAACTACTACCACAGAGGCAACTTAGTGTGTAGACGCCAGGGTACTGTATGTCCGGAATCACATCTTTTACAGACGGAACCAGATCACGGATTTTATGTAATGTGTTGAATCGGACCTGGATCTTGTGTTTATTCAAGATTTTGGAGATCTTTTTTGTGATCCCCGAAATGTAGGGTAAAGTGATGGTTTTGAAAGGCTCCTCAAGAGGGTCCTTCTTCATGGTTTGAGTGATAGCTTTGCGGATTGTAAAGTCGGAGTAACCATTAGCCTTAAGAGCTTGGTGTACGTGCTTGAGTTCACTGACTATGTGTTCCTGGTCGGATAGGCATTGGGCTCTATGGTGCAGAGTTTTGATGAGGGAATTATTCTGGGATGGATGGTGGTGGGAATCCGGTTTCAGATAAGCATCCGTATTGGTAGCTTTCCTGTAGACAGAGTGGCTCATTGAACCATCAGGTCTCTTTTTTATGAGGACATCCAAAAAAGGTAGCTTGCCATCTTTTTCGACTTCCATGGTAAATCTGATGGCTGGGTGTATGGAATTAATGTGGTCGAGGAATTGGTCTAGAGCAGGCCGGCCATGTGGCCAGATGACAAAAGTGTCATCCACGTACCTCTTCCATAAGGTTGGGCGCAGAGTGGCAGTCTGGATGGCGTCAGTCTCAAATTTCTCCATGAAAATGTTGGCTACATTGATGATGATTGCTTGTGTTGCAGTCGAAACGTCGTGAGAATTTGATTGTTTTATATTTTTGTTATTTTATTGTTTCCCTTCTACGTGACTTTACCGAAAGAACCAAGAATATGCTTCAAATTGCTTTAAGCTATTGTCATTGAAGTGTGTATTTAATGTGCCACTGCACTTCTGATGTTGTGTGGGAAAATATTTATCAAAAAGTATATTTAATGAAGTAGAACGTGTTGTCTATATTTATTTACAGTTGCGCATTTTGATGTGACGTCACATTTCTCAACCCCACCCCCCCAGGTGCATGACGTCATTTATGGACGGGCCCTTTATCCGCCCGGTGCTCCGCTCGTTGTTGTGAGCGTCGTCTCCTCTGCCCTCCGTTGTTGCTGGAGGGCGACTGCCTCCAACTGCCCAGTAGCGTCCTTCACGAGCCTCCTCCGTATAGAGGCCGATCTTGACACCGCTGGTAGCGGTCATCGGCAAGTCCACTCAGCTCCACGTCCTCCCGTACCGCGTCACTCCATCTCCTCTATCCGGCCAAACAGGAGCTGCTTGGGGCATGCGGTGGCTGGGCATGCGGGCTCCATGACTCAGCACCTCACCTGCCGTCACCATGCCCGTTCCATTAAGCCCCTCCGTTGGTGCTGGCACTGTTTAATGTTTATGTTCATTAGAGTACTTAATGTTTATGTTAATTAGAGCACTTTCAAACGTTGTTCGATGATGCTGCATTTGCAGTGGTGCACAAGGACAAATAATGAAAAACTCAACACATTCGTCAATAACATTGTGACCTTAAAAGGAAGATTTTATAATCGGCGACATTTCAGCCAAAGTCCCTTTTCGGAGCACATGAATCGAATCAATTATTTTGATTTCTCATGCGACAGTTATGTTTTTTCTCATTTCTATTTGCTTCATTGTTCGCCGTATTTGCTTTTGTCATGTTGGTAAACGAGGTCACTCTTGCAAACGAGACTACAGTACTGGTCTCTTTGAGTTCTCTCACCTGGTTAGACAAAGTAACATGAACATTTTCTTCGGTTCTTTCGGTAAAGTCACGTCGATGGTTCAAAGAAAATAACAAAAAAAACTACGACGTTTCGATCACAACACAAGCGATCGACATCAGGAGGATGTGTTGTTATTTGCTTTGTACCTATCTACGTGACTTCACCGAAAGACCCCAAGGAATATGAATTCCTGCGGTCACGAAAGCTTTAAGTCAAGAAACATGTACATTTCAAACAGCAGACAAACGTGTCCAAAAAGCACCCACCTTCGTGCGATATTAAAAAAACTACCAACGGTTTTTAAATAACTGCAATTGTGGTCATCTTAGGTTACCATCTAATACATTTGTATTTATGTATCTACAGCATGTTAAACTTCTTTCGTACCGTATTCAACGAACCGTGCTAAGCAGAGGTGTGGGGGGGGGGGGGGGAAGGACAACAAAGCAAGGCCGTAATTATAATTTATATTGGGGGGGACACACAAATATTCTGGACAGTCCTGTTTCTTCACCTGAGGACGGCTACTTGTGTTGTGGCCGAAACGTCGTGAGAATTTAATTGTTTTATTATTTTATTTATTTATTCTCATTCTACGTGACTTTACCGAAAGAACCAAAGAGGTCAAAAAGTTTATTTCAAACAACACTGTAACCCAATTTCTCAGCACGCGGTGAGTTTGCGGATGAATATCGCGGAATGAGGCGTAAGGCAAGGCCTAGCCTAAAGTCTAGGACTTGCCTAATGCGCAGTAAACAAACATTCGGAAGTGACTGCTTTCCGTTAACTAATATTAAATGTTTCGTGGTATTCATAAACAATTGGATACAGTATATGTTCCATTAGTTTAATTGTCGGTAGTGTTAGGGTAGATATTCGATGAAATGAAAGAATCGTAGGAAGGGCAGAGCGTATGTGCAGGCAAAGGATAGAGGTAGCGATACAAAACGGACGATAGCGCAACATAGTACCCAGAGAAAAGATAAACTAGTAATCGTGTACGGCAGGCGCAACTATTTCCGGCTATGGGATTTTATCTTGATGTCGGGGGGAGGGGGTGTGGTAATTTTTGGTTCAGACATACGGAAAATTCGGGTTACGGATCGTTCCGTGGAACGTAACCCCTTCCGTAACCCGGGGACTGCCTTGAAATGTGAACGCCATCCCCTTAGCAACATGGCCGCCCGTTGGTTCAACCCCCCCCACCCCCCCAGATGTGACGTCAAATCTGCCAGGTTGTACCCGGAAGCCCCGGGCACGGCTCCGACTCTCGCTGACATTGGATCTAACAACAACATCACCACCTACAATAACATCACTAACAACAACACCTACAATAACATCACTAACAACAACAATAACATCACTAACAACAACACCTACAATAACATCACTAACAACAACAACACCTACAATAACATCACTAACAACACCAACAACAACATCACTAACAACATCACCACCTACAATAACATCACTAACAACACCACGACCTACAATAACATCACTAACAACATCACCAACAACAACATCACTAACAACATCACCACCTACAATAACATCACTAACAACATCACCACCTACAATAACATCACTAACAACATCACCTACAATAACATCACTAACAACATCACCACCTACAATAACATCACTAACAACAACACCACCAACAACATCACTAACAACAACACTACCAACAACATCACCACCAACAACAACACCACCAACAACAACACCACCAACATCACCACCTACAACATCACCAACAAAAACAACACCACCAACATCACCTACAACATCAACAACATCACCACCAACACCACCACCAACATCACCACCAACATCACCAACACCACCAACAACAAAACCACCAACAACAACACCACCAACATCACCACCTACAACATCACCAACAACACCACCAACATCACCCACAACAGTCCATGAGATCTGAGGCCAGGAGCGAGTGGGTAAGTCTCGTGCCGAGCGATCTCAATCCGCTTGGGGGAGGGGGGGGTGTTGTTGTTGTTGCTGTTGTTGTTGTTGTTCTCTTTGAATTGTCGTCACTTTTGAGAGTCGTCTTTGCTTATCGCTGCGCCGACCAACTTGCATCGTCGCCCACCGCGTAGCGCGGGCCGCCGTTTTGCGGACGTGGCGACAGCTCCGCAACTCGCCCCGCGGCGCCTCCTCTCACTCGGGACGATTCCCCGGGGGGTTTCTTTTTGTTGTTACGAAGTTTTTTGTTGTTGTTGTTTTTAAATCGTTACAAACGTTTTTTTTAATAATTTGTTAATGTTTTTTGAAAAACGTCTTTCGCTCGAGAGCCGACTGCGCGATCGTCGATGCGATCGCTTAAAGCCGTCCACTGCTGGATGAGGAGGGCCTGACACCTACAAAGACAAAGATCCCCCGTGTAGCCTGTAACACACTGTAGGGGCAAGTGCTGTTAGCGAATAGCAGCACCCTGTGAAGGCCGGCACGGCACACGAGGTGGGTGGCTGGCCAACACCACGCCCGGCCGCCTTTGTCTCCCCAGTGGCGATGTTTACTACACACACCGCATCAGGTACTCATTTGAGGCTGAGTCGACCTAGGGGAGGCCCGGGACCGGTTTAGATAATCGTCACCGACGGTGTTGGCCGTGAGCGGGAATCGAACCCGGGGCGCCAAGTTCGTAGCGCAGCGTAGCGCTAACCGCTGCACCACCGCTCCCCACCCTGACACCGACACACATTCACACTCACACATTTCACAGTCACTTTCGAGTGTTGCTGTTACGCTGAGAGTATTTGCAACGAATTGCTTTCCTGGTTCGACCGCACGGTAAAAGTTCGCGTGGTTGGTGATGGGACGTGGTAGCAGCAGCAGTAGTAACCGCGTCAACCCATGCGGTTTCACGCCCTGTTCTTCTCGTACGGGGTAAAAAATAAATAAATGTTAAGTTGTAAGGTACATACGGCGTGCAGACGTTTCACTGCGGGCAAAACTAATAATAATGTTTGTCTATGTGTTTGTGTTTCTCACTTGTGGTGGGACTTTGTGGGGTGAACGTTGAGATTTAGAAGGGCACAGGGTGACCCAATAAGGTGTGAATTGGTCTGCAATCCGGTAGGACTCTGAAGGGGTTGACAGCGACGAGGACGCTCTGTCAGTGTGTTGTGCGTGGTGCATTACCGTACAGATTCTATCACGTAACATAGCACTACAAAGTCACATTTATAAGAACGGCGGAGTGCTCTTGCCAATAACATCCAGCAAAGCAGCAGCGTCTGTTTTAACAAGCCCTGACTGCTGATGCGACCCAGGAATGTCTTAAATTGTTTCCAGAGTTTTGTGGCTTAATAATTACACGTTGCTGGATAATGCAGATATGAAAAGCCAATCGGCTGATGAAATAAAAACGCGTTTTTAGCTCGACGAATGCACACAACGAAGTTCTGCTGTGTTAATATGCGTTTGGCATCGTTAATGTGACTTGACCATTCTGTTAACGTTACAATAGTGGTAGTTACGCCATTTCATTCTTACCAAAGCAAGATACCTACCCACAGCACGTGTCTTCACCATGGTGAATGACCTTGCCATATATTGCACGAGGCTATCAACACGTAGCTTTACCATAACGTTGACTCTCGTAGTTGCACATTTCTCCGTAGTGACTGCCATGGTAAATGACAAACCGTATGGCCACGTGCTATGGTAAAGCCACATATCATTGTAACTGCACGTCATGCTGGTCAGTGTGGGTTGGTGAAAGATCACTCATGTTAAATATGGCCAGGAATCGAACTCAGGTGACCAGGTTCATAGGTCATCTTGCTAATCAGCACCACTGCTGTTAATATGCTCACATTACATACATCATATCCATCAACGCTTGGCTTTATCGTATCATGTGACTCCTGTAGTACGGCATCTAACCTCTCCACGGCATGCGACTTTACCGTGGTAGATTACTTTGTCATTTAGCATGTGACTGTCAACATGTATCTATATCACAACATTTGACTGCCATGCTCACTGTGTGATGGGCCATACCCGTGTGTCATGTATGTGTGTGGGCAGCAACAGTGGTGGCAGCAGAAACTGGCCACAACAACAGCAGACGCAGTGACAGCAGCAGCAGAAACAGCGTGAGCATGGAGCTGGGCAGCGCAGAGCTCCTGGAACTGCTGCTCGACTGCCCGGATGGGTCACGTGACACAGGGCATTCTGGGATACTTATGGGGGATGCCTTCATCGGCTCTGAGGAATCGGGAGACATTTGGGGCATCAATCACGTGAGCAAAATGTCCTTTTCCTTCAATGCATTAGGGAGCTGATTGGATATGAACTGTCGGCTGTCACTGTTTTGTCCCTGTGGCTAGACTACAGGAAGGATGAGGATTTGCATTTGGAGGGCGCTCGCTTAAATGTACTTGCTTAAATTCCTCAGCAACGCAAATCGCCTTCCGTCACATCTCATCTCAGTCAATCCACTAACCATCTGCAGTTTTGGACAAGGGGGACCTCCGGATGACAGCTTCCCCTGTGCAGCGTAAGGCGATTGCCCTATAAGTGGGCATTCGTCTGCCGCTAGGGCATGATGTTGCCCTCGTGGCAGACTAATGCCGATTAGCACGGTTGGCTACGTACGGTGCGAAACAGGATCAACATACATGCATGTGGTTTTCGCAATTGAATAATTTTCAGTGGTTTTATGTTCGGTGAACTTCTTTGGCGCCGTACCTAGCCAACCGTGCTAATCGGAGGTGCGGATCGAATGTGGTTGAGATCAGGTGTGATGTAAGGTGCTTTTAGTTGGGAATTTAAGTGCGCTGTAAATGCAAATACTTACTGCAAAATAACCACATCTGCCTTCCCAGGCCATGGAAGACAGCGAGTCGGAGGACCTCCTCTCCCACATCGTCGACCCCAACCAGGCGCGCTCCATGTCCCCACGAGATGACGGCGGCTTGTCACCCATGGGCAGCGACGACAGCGGCATCTCGGACGAATCGGCCGTGCCGGGCCCAGGGGTCGCCCTCGGCGAGGGCCTGGCCCCCATGATCGCCGAGGGCAGCAGGGCAGCAGTGGGCAGCGGTGCCCGGGACGTGTGCTACGTACTGAGCGTGGGGTTGGATGGGGTGAAGGCCGTGGCTCCGTCGTCAGACATGGACATCATCTCCATTGAGTACGGTGAGTTCGCAGGGCTGGGACGATCAGTCAGTGAAGTCGATTTAAAGTTATCGCTGGTAAAAGTGCAGCCCTGCAATAGTTTGCTCATGCCACTGCTGGCGGAAGGTTTCCACGAGGGGGAGCTCTAGAGGGCCCTCTCTAGAAGTTACTTGGCCTACTCTTCCTCACCACACGCAACCTGTCGATCGACTATCTGGGTCTGTCCAATTTATTTTTCTTGATGGATAGCGGCGTTGGGATTTGAGAAACTTGACCATTGTATTATTTTCTGCGCCAGGAGATCAAATTCAACCGGCGACCTCTGGATTTCAAGTCTAGTTTGCTAGCCATTACACAAGGCACAACAAAAAAGAGTACATTCTTGAATCGAATCTGACCTCAAACCGTGAACGTTTATTGAAGTCCTGACTGTATCGGGGATGAATTGTTACCTACTCGTATGTAGGAATAGGTTTTACCCTTTTAACTCGCACAAAAACTGACACCTTTATTCAAGGCATCATGTTTGCAATAACCACAACACAAGCAGTCAAAATGCAAACAAAAAAGACAACTCTGATAATAATATACACTGTCCTTGAATTTGATTGGTCCACACCCGAGACAGCTTTTCTTAGAGCCTAGTCTCCATTGGTGTTGGACCAGAAGACGCCAAAAGGCGTACAACTCAAAAACAGCGCACTATCAGAGTATTGAGGGCTCGGGGTGAGCATTAACATTATGAGACCTCCTTTGCCAGAAACAAGATATAGGAATAGGTTTTACCCTTTTAACTGGCACAAAAACTGACACCTTTATTCAAGGCATCATGTTTGCAATAACCACAACACAAGCAGTCAAAATGCAAACAAAAAAGACAACTCTGATAATAATATACACTGTCCTTGAATTTGATTGGTCCACACCCGAGACAGCTTTTCTTAGAGCCTAGTCTCCATTGGTGTTGGACCAGAAGACGCCAAAAGGCGTACAACTCAAAAACAGCGCACTATCAGAGTATTGAGGGCTCGGGGTGAGCATTAACATTATGAGACCTCCTTTGCCAGAAACAAGATATAGGAATAGGTTTTACCCTTTTAACTGGCACAAAAACTGCTTGTGTTGTGGTTATTGCAAACATGATGCCTTGAATAAAGGTGTCAGTTTTTGTGCCAGTTAAAAGGGTAAAACCTATTCCTATATCTTGTTTCTGGCAAAGGAGGTCTCATAATGTTAATGCTCACCCCGAGCCCTCAATACTCTGATAGTGCGCTGTTTTTGAGTTGTACGCCTTTTGGCGTCTTCTGGTCCAACACCAATGGAGACTAGGCTCTAAGAAAAGCTGTCTTGGGTGTGGACCAATCAAATTCAAGGACAGTGTATATTATTATCAGAGTTGTCTTTTTTGTTTGCATTTTGACTGCTTGTGTTGTGGTTATTGCAAACATGATGCCTTGAATAAAGGTGTCAGTTTTTGTGCCAGTTAAAAGGGTAAAACCTATTCCTATATCTTGTTTCTGGCAAAGGAGGTCTCATAATACTCGTATGTAATTAATATTTACGTAAAAAGTAATTCGCATTTCGAGCCGGATAAACGTACATACGGATTGACATCACGGATGCGTCTTCAGTGCCTGGGATGCACGTGCATGTTATTTCCCGGCACCGTGACCTCGTGCATCTCTCTCTCTCTCTGCCCGTTCACCCTTCATTGCAGACGAGTGGAACTCCCACATGGCCGGCATCTCCACGTTCGCCGACAATCCCATGGCAGCGCTGGCCGGCGGAATCAAAGTGGAGAGCACCATGCTGTCCGCCAGCCAGTACTCGTACCGCGACACTGGCAATCTGGTAGGCAGTGATTAAATTGTGTCCTCAGCTGGGGGGCGATGGGGTGCATAGGTCAGAGGACTTAGCCGCCACCATTGAGATCCTCGATTTTAGTCCCCGAGTTTCAGCCGCACGTCGATTAAGCCGGGCTCTCAAAGTGCTGCGAGTTGATGGTCTCAGCTCAGTGACCAAGCGGTGACTGCGCACAAAAACCCAAACTCGTCATATTAAATTTTTGTCTGACACTTGAAATTGCGCAAGTCCGGATGAGAACTTGGGAGGCAAAGCGTTATGATTAATAGATATTATTAGGCAAAAATGTGTTTGCACTGGGTAGGACACGTGTGCAGGATGGGGGGGGAGTGTTGATCACCGCTGGCATTTAAGAGGTCTCCATGAGTTTGGCGACCAAGGGGAAGAGAGAAGACATGAGAGCAGATTGTGCCATAGTGTTAGGGCAGATATTGGAGGTCATGTGCCAACTGCACTGCAACTGCTGGTAGAAGGTGGAAGGGCATCAGCAGCCTTGGCCTCGATGACTTCTTGACCTTGAGTGTATTGCTATGTGCTCAAGTTCCCAGAGATTACTCTGTCTGAAGAGGAGAGAAAGCTGCTGGAGCAAGAGGGATTGTCACTACCCTCCCACCTGCCACTTACAAAGGTACATTGCAACTAAGCACCTTATGCCTTTACTACACACAGGCACATGTACACACATACTATATATTTAGAAGCTACACACAACAACAACCACCGTTCGCCACTGTGGTGGTGATGTCACCACGGCGCTTATGCCGAGGTTGGTGCATTTTGAGGCCACGTGAAGTGTCCAAGACTCGCTGACAGGTCACGGAACAGACCCAGGTGCCATATGTTGACTGACATGACTGGCAGATGCACCACCTGTGTCCACACTGTGCCAAGCTTGGTGCCTTTTAGCCACCCAGTGCTCTGCTCCTTGTTGAGGTCGTCACTCTGCCCTCCGTTGTTGTTCAGAATCAGAATCTTTCCATTTTTCCTGGAGGGATCTGATGAGCTATGAAGCTCTTTTTCGCAGATGTCCAGGAGGGCGAGTCAGCAATTTGTTGGAGGCCGACTACCTCCAATTTCCACGCAGCGTCCTTCACGAGCCTCCTCCACAGAGGACGATTTTGACACCACTCGTACCAGTCATCGGCAATTACAATCAGCTGCACATTTCTCTTTACCACATTAGACCATCTCATCTCTAGCCCCTGCTTGGGCATGCAGTGGTTGGGCATGTGGGCTACATGACCCAGCCAACGCAGCCTCAGCTGCCAGAGGAGCTCGATGATGGGACTGTGTCCAGATATATCAAGGATCTGTGGGCTCATAAAATCCAGTCTGGTTAAACCCAGGATGGATCGTAGGCAGGTCAGCCTGATTGTTTCAAACCGGCACATGTGTTCCTTTCAAGGTCTCCATGTTTTGCAAGCATCAATCAGTCTTTATTTTGCGTGCCAATATCTCCCTCAAAAAAATAGGCGTCAGTGCACATTACAGCAGAATGGAAATTGTACAGAGGCATAATAAATAATAATAGAAATATCCATTTTCCGTGCATCTCTTTGCCAAAAAAACACTAATATAGGTATCAATTATGCTTACGTTTCTCTGCCATCACGCAGTTTTGTAAATTAAAACTCCCAAAAGAAACGATCGGATAAATCACTCAAAATGATGATTTTGATTGATCCTCTTTCTATTTATAACGAACACTCACGATCCACCGATCGATGCGCGTGCTCGGTGATGACACTTTCCTGCTCCCACGCAGCAGAAGACTCAGCCTGCAAAGTTGATAGCAGTGGAGCCACGCCAATCAACATCAATCAAACTCCGCATAATGTTGTAAAGATTTGCAACTACTGTACTGTAGAGGCGATCACGTGGATTTCGGATTCATTTTAAGCACGTGACTTGTAATAAACATTTCCAAGAATAACAATGTATTACTGTTTTTAGATGATTCATTTGGGCTTAAGGGAAACATCCATGAGTTATTCATTGATCTCAAAATCTCAGGCGCACGGTTCATCTGCAAATTGGACAAAACCATACACGGATAATCGAGAGTATACTGTATACAGATACATTCATAGCTAGCCACAGATACATTGATATATCTATACACAGACAACGATACACAGACAACCATACTTCCTCAAACCACAGTCTCTCTACACTGAAATGTTTCTTAGTCTGACTGCCCGAGCCCCAGGCATTAACACTGAACTCTATGAATCCTTAAGGTGCGTTTGTCTGCCTCTAAGCTTCGGACATTAATATTAAATCATAATTAATCTAAACATGCCTTAGTCTGGCTTTCTGAGCCTCTGCAGTGTTTACAATGTGCATTATGATTCTTCTGAAGCCTGTCGAGATTCGATGCATTCGGTGTGAATTGGCCATAGGCACAGCACTAACCCATTGGTGTACAAAAGAGCGAATGAATGAACAGATAAATGAGTGAATGCCTCCGCTCCTGCCAACAGGCGGAAGAGCGCATGCTCAAGAAAGTTCGCAGGAAAATCCGGAACAAGCAGTCGGCGCAGGAGAGCCGGAAACGGAAGAAGGAGTATGTGGACGGGCTGGAAGGGAGGTGCGTGGTTCCGCACGCATCGTGCGACCCAGATTATGGGAGGCAGCAGAGGAGAATGAGCAACCTCCCCACCCCTCCCCCAACTGTGTGCCTGCGTGTGCGCGCGCGCATATGCAGACAATAGATTGTTTACCCAACAAGACGCATGTTAATTTCCACGGTAAGAAAATGAATTACGGCACGGAACACAGAATCCGATCTGCGTTAGGCGCTGCTGCACAGCTCTCCGATGTGCTTTCGGGCTGTGTCGCGCGTCGCTCGGCACGATATCCAACATTCCGCTCGGCGTGCAGCGCGTGAAGACAGCTGCCACCGCACGGAGCGAAACGTCGGACGCTGCGTGTAAACAACACGGGGCACAAGCGGGAAACGTGGCGGAGATCCGCAGAGAATCTTGAGTTTCGCAAATTTTGAGACGCAGTCGTTGCTCGCGTTAACGTTTGCGAACGTGACGTCAACCTCCGCTGAGTTCTCCACGCGACCTCCGCGGCCCGTCCGTGGTGGGGACAGGTGGGAGGCTGTCGATGCGTCCCCGCACCCGAGCGACATTTCCCCGCCCCTGGCCTGCGTGGCTTTCACTGTGAGGCGGTGATCGTGGCGTGCAGGGTGGCGGCCTGCAGCACTCAGAACGAGGAGCTCAAGAGGAAAGTGGATCAGCTGGAGGCACAGAACATGTGAGTTTTTTTTCTTTGGCTCTTGCAAACTCCCGCTCACTCACTTAAAGCATTGTGATACTGCCGGGGGGGGGGGGTGGGGGCGGCGGAACTTATTTTACGAGCATTACCTACAGCCCCGTGTCTGTCCACAGTTGGGCGGCGGTCATGGGGGGATTGTTTGACCATACCTCACCGCGTTGGTCAGCGTGGGTTGGCAGGGGGATTTGGGCCCGGGACTGCTATTGATAGCAAACTGGCGGCGGTGGCTGAGAATAGAACTTAGGGCGCTGGATTGAGAGGGTAGGTCAGCAATCTCCGAAATGCTGTATCAGTGAATTAATATGCTTTACGATGTACAATCCACTGCCTCGATTGCATCAGATCTTGAAAGGTAAGCAGGTTTATAAGCCTTTGATAGTGCTTGCACGTGCGGCCACGTGCATAAAGCAGCTATCGTATGTCCGTATGTTGAACTTCTTTAGCACCGTACGTAACCAACCGTGCTGTCTTTAGGCGGCTGTGGGGCTACGTTGTGGGCGGCACAGCGCGGTGTAGCAAAATCAATCGTGTTCTACTTCTGTGCTTTCACGTCCGCTGCACGACTTCGCCAAACTCGTCCTGACCAGCGTGGTGAGATACAATTAAATAATCCCCCTACGTCGAGCAGTTGATTGCCAATATGCTCATACGTGTTCACGCAATACAGCAAGGCAGCGCAAAATAAATGTCTGTGCCATCGAATAACAAGACTCGCAAATAAGGGCAACAGTGCATCGAAACTTAATGGCAATTGAACCTCCTTTTACCATCGAATAACAAGACTCGCCAATAAGGGCAGCAGTGCATCGAAACGTAATGGCAGTTGAACCTCATTTTACCAGAACTCTAATAGCATCCAAAGGTGGCAGGGTGATGCAATGGTAACGCTTGGCCTCAGAGCAACAAATACCTGGGTTCAATTCCAACTCGAGCACCTTTTTACGTGGAGTTTGTATGTTGCGAGCGGTAATGTCGCGGTTTGCGCACTGCGCTACGAAGCCGGCGAACCGAGTTTGATTCTCACTCATGGCCAAGACCAGTGATGATTATTTGAACCGGTGTTGGACCTCCCCTAGGTCAACTCGGCCTCATATGAGTACCTGGTGTAATGTGTAAACTTCGCCATTAGGGAGACAAAGGCAATCACGTGTAGTATTGGCCACCCACTCCCTTGTGTATCGGCTTTCATAGGTACTCGCTAACAGCACTTGCCCCAACAGTCTCTTAAGGCTATATGGGGGATCTTCGTCTTTGGAGTTTGTACCTTCTGCCCCTGTTGTGCATTGGGTTACTCTAGGTTCTTCCGTTTTCCTCCCATAGCTTAACTGGTATTGATCAAACATCCCGATGCCGACAGAAGAACTGCACATTACTCAATTGGTAAAACTCATAGCAAAATCATCCCCTCTGTGTAAACTTGGCAGGACGTGACGAAGCATCATTGAGGCTCTCCTGGTTGAACGCGCACGTGGACAATAATCACAATCGCACGTTAATGCGCCGAAAAGTACGGGGCGCGCGCGAGTCATTGGCGGTGGCCCCGTTTGCGTGCCAGAACGTTGGTGACGCAGCTGAAGAAGCTGCAGGCCATGGTGACGCAGACGTCCAGCAAAGCGGCGCAGACGAGCACCTGCGTCATGGTGAGCGAATCGCGTCGCGATACTCCCACATTTTATGCACGATTCTCATATACAGCGACTCATCGACTTACGGACATTCGACTTACGCACTTTCAGAGATACGAACAAACCTGTCCGTATGTCCAGTTGCCTGTTTGGACCGAGGCTCGTAAGTTCAACCGCCGCGCAATAGATGGCAGTGGTGGCATCTACATTTGCAGAACGTGAAGTACCAGTGGCATCTACAGGAGATTATACAACTTTTAAAGCCATTCCCCGTGTTTAGTGTACGTGCCGTACAACATGTTTGGAATCGACAGGAGTAAAGTTGGACTTATGAACAAATCGACGTACGAACAGACCTCTAGAACCTAAATCGTTCGTAAGTAGAGGAGTCGCTGTACGTTGTTAGCGGTGGTGTTAACGTCGCTCTCACAGCCATGAGAGAGAGCCACCATTAAAAAAAAACTTATTAACAGCACTTGGTTCGGCTTTTCAAATGTCTTTTGCCCCCCCCCCCCGCCCCCCTCGTTGCAAAGGTGTTCCTGCTGTGCTTCGCACTCCTTGTCTTCCCCAACTACAGCCCTTTCGGCTCGTCGAAGAACGCCTCCCAGGAGCTCTATACACCCGAGGGAGGTGAGATGCTGCACTCATGTAGAAGACTCCCGATTATCCGCGTGCGGTTTGTCCGATTTCCGGTTTAACCGCGCACCTGAGATTTTTTTACATAAACTAACAACTCATGGAGGTTCCCTGAATCACAACGTAATAATCGTTATTCTTGGAAATGGTTATTACAAGCCACGTGCTTTAAACCGAGCAAAATATGTGCTCCGATTAATCCGAAATCCACTTGATCGTCCCTACAGCACGGTAGTGGGCAGAGTTTGATTGATTTTTTTTTATTGCCGCGGCTCTGCAGCTATCGTCCACTTAGTGGGCGGAGTCTTCTGCCGGGCGGGAGCAGTAAAGGGTTATCACTGAGCGCACGCATCGATCAGTCGGCCGTTACTGTACGCATAATTGTGGCTTTTAGCATAGAGATCCGTGGAAAATAGATAGTTTTGGGTTGTCCGCGATTTTGAATTATCCGTGGCTGTCCTCCCCGTCATTGGCGCGGATAATCGAGAGTCTACTCAAAATAAACACGTAAACATACAAGCGGACATGGCACCCTGTTAAGCGACCCTGACGCCTGTCTGCAATTGAGCGGTCACGGAATTGCGAGACCAATACATGGGTTTATGGAAATGGGCTCTTGCTTGCGTCATATAAACGCCCGCTGTGTAAATGACGTTTGAAAAACAATAACGGGTCGGCCTGTGGTTATCGGATTCCATGCCACCTGCTGCCCAGATGGGATTATTGCACGCGCTGAGACCGTGAGAGGCGGCGATGGCCTGCGGTGGGCACTCGCGTAGCAGCGGAGAGATCAAGGCTGCTGATATGATGGCGCCATTCACATAAACAGATGCCACCGTCGCATAAAGGTGACGCTGGGTCTTTGCAGGTGTCCAATTCCGAACGGTTGCTATGAAATTTTACAGAAAGGCTGCAGACCATCGCTTATTTGTTCACAAAATAAACAGCGGCCGATGGAGTGGCCCTTCCACGTCGTTGCGTGACCCCGTCACTTGTGAGAAGTTTGACGATTGGGAAGCGCGTTCTTCCGCATTTCGGCACTCCCATGAAGCATTACCGTCTCGCAGTGCTGAGATCCCAGGGTTCAGATGTTGGCAGCTGCCCCGTTGTTAAAACCGAGTTTCCAAGTGAATCGAGTAAAGTGGCCTCAGCCCCGTTGGTAATGACTCCACTTAAAAGCCATTGTTAATCAACTTGGTTTTGTCAATGAAATATAATCTATCCAACTTCCCAGAATTACAAACACCTCTGCAAACTAATTTCTATCATTGGCAGCTGACACCTGGATGTAATCCGAGGGTCTCAGCATAACGATATAAATTCCTTAAAACTTTTAGGATCATCAAATGAATTAAGAGCCACACGTGTGTTTTTTTACCATACCGAAGTGTCATTTTACGATTTTCCCCTCCCTGCATTGCAGCGGTGCTGTCCAGGGCACTAAAGGGGATCGAATCTCCCCTAGAAAACCTGGAGCCAGAGCAGCCTAACCTGTCGCAACCTGACGGGGTCGTGCCAGCAGGGTCACCAGGAAGTCGAGCTATTGCCGTCGCCGGCCCTCCCAGCAACCCTGAAAATCGGCCATCGCAGTCATCATCATCATCATCGGCAACAGCAGCAGTAGATGACGTGGTGAAAGCGAGCTGTGGAAACGCCACAAATTGTGGGGCCGCCACCAAAGATGTCGTTGCGGAGGCGCCAGGTCCGGTTGGCGTGCCCAGTGGTGCGGTCGGAGACGGGGAGGCTCCGCTGGGCAGTGTGGCTGACGTCAAGTCGACGCACGCTGACGAGATGTGAGAGACTTGGAGGGAGGAGAGAAAACAACGGGGAGTAGCGGGGAGATATGAGGAGCGGGAGGAGGAGGAGGAAGACATGGGGATGAGAGGGAAGACACAAGGAGGAGTTTGGAGACATGAGGATAAAGAGGAAGACACGGAGAGGGGAGGGTAGATAGGATGAGATAGAAGAAGAGACGGAGAGAAGGGAGAAACGAGAGAGCGGAAGCCATGATAAGAGACAAGGGGCCGAAGAGGAACAGGGATGACACGAGGAGGGGAGACATGGGAGAGTTGAGGGGAGGAGGAGTCCTGTCTTTTTATTTCAAAAACTTCTAGCCAGATAGGTGACTGGATGGCTCCTGAATTTGTCTGCTGTAACGCTGCGGGTTTCCTGACACTGAAATCAATAACCAAAAAAACATAGAGACCTGTGTAATATATTTTATTGTAATTTAATAAGTTAAATATTTTGACATTCCACGGATAATTCTTTCAATCATCAAGCCAATACGTGCCTTTAGGTACTATGGGACAGTCAGAGTATCAATAGTGACATTCAGGACGTCACAACTTTCTTTGTGGCGTTTTGCTGCATCGCCGAGATTCGATGCAAGAATAATTTTCGTCTTGTATCATTGTGGTAAATGTCGTAGCAGTCTTTCAGTGTGCTGCATGGGTAAGGTCAACCCATTACACGCTTCGCATCATTCCAGTGAGAATCGTATATTAATGACGGGCCAGATGGGTCAGCGGAAGAGCGAGTTACTTGCAATCGGAATGCGGCGAGTGCACATCCTGGTTGGGGCAGGCGGGGTGGGGGGAGAGGTGTTGACTCGGGATCGATAAAATAAATAGCAATGTGGGGGAAGTCAACAGTGGTTGTCCTATGCAGGAGATGTGGAACTTCGAACACTGTACTCAGGGCTACAAACAGGATGAGAACTGATGCCCTCAAAGCTCAGAGCGACAGGACATCACTTGACTTTTTGACTGTTTGTGTAATGGGCTCACGTGACCTCTCATTGCGTTAAATATGATGGGAACATATCGAGAGAGAGAGTCAGACTTTAGCAATGATTTTGAGAGCGTTTATAAACACGTTATCGTGTTATAATAGGGACCAGGGAGGCAGAACGTTCTCTGGTTCCAAATGCTGTAAAAATGTGTGCGCACATACACACGGCAACAAACTCCCGTTTGCCGTTAAGTAGCGGCAACGACGTGGCCCTTGTACTCGTCTCGGTACACTTTGAAACCACGTGGATTTACAAAAGCTCCGTTGACATGAGGTCACGAGACATCGAATGTTCGGTGAACCGCACCCTTTTCACAGAGGTGTGTACACAAACGTAAACAGACACATTCACTAGGACAGATCCCCCCTGTGGCCTTAAACTATTAGGGGGAAAGTACTTTTGGCGAGCGCCTACGTAGGCCAAAACGATACACGAGCGGGTGGGGGGTGGCCAGTACAACACCCGGCCACCTTTGTCTCCCAAAGTGCTAATATTTATACACCTCACCAGGTACTCAATTTATGGTTGAGTTGACCTAGGGGAGGTATCGAACTCTGGTCGCCGGGTTCCTAGCACAGTGCTCTAACCACTACACAACCACTCCCCAAAGTAGACATGCATAGCCACACATAAACAGATTCACATGCACGACAAAACAGACTCGTACATAAATAGCGGGTGAATGAGGGTATGGTGTTGCCAGTACCACGCCCAGCAGCTACCTTTGTCTCTCCAGTGCATTTGTTCACACACCACACTGAGGCTGCTTTGACTTTGGGGATGCCCAGAACCGGCCCAGACATCGCTTGCCACCGATTTTATCCGTGGCCGGGAATCAAACTCGGATGGCCATTTTCCTGGCGCATAGCGTGGGACCATCTCAGAACCATTGCGCCATCTTGTTATTGTGAGCTACAGCTCGTCAGCAAACGACATCAATGTTGGCCATATCACGCCATTTGTTGACTGCAATGAGCATGGGGCACTTTGCCGTGAAGTGACATTTGCCTCTTGCTGCACTGCGGGGTTTAGGGCGCGAGAGCTTCTCAACGGCCCAATGAGTGTGAGCGCTTTGCCGGGGGAGCCGCGAATTCGTTGAGAAGGAACCGTTGCTTCTGGATTGGCTGGATTGGGCACCACGGTGGCTAGAAGATGTTAACTACCTCGCCTGGTATGCAGGAGCTCGTGGGTTCGATCCCGACCCGGTCGCGTTGGCAGCGTCCTGCGCCAACAGCTGGCGTGTAAGCACACGACCGCTATTCACGATCCGCTTGTGCGAGGGGAGAAACGGGGGGCGTCAGTGTAGGGTTAACGATGTGTAGTAGTGATTGTTTTTTGCACTAGCTTTATTTGTTGGTAATAGAGGTGGGGGGGGGGGTGGTATTGTTGATAAACATTTACATATGACCTTGGTGGTTTACACTCCAAATGTGTTCTAAATATGTTTAATGTCAATTGTAATCATTTTTACATTACGTTTGTCAATCCACTGCTCGATGGTTGCCGGCCATAGCGGGGGTGGGGGGTGGTTGCTTGAGCATACTTCACCACGCCGGTCAGTGTGGGTTCGTGAAGACAGGAAAGGGGAAGGGGGGTCAGAGGTGGATCAGGACCATTTAAAAAATCAACTTGTCACTGATGTGAACCTTGGCCAGAATTTGAGCTCTCTGGGACCACCAGCGCCCTGCCCCACCAACCCCAAAAGCACAGGACTATAAGTCGAACACTACATTTCTGTTTCAGCTTAACTGCATTACGTTTGCTTTTGTGGGCATCTGATGGTACTGTAATTCACATAATCGGGGAGGCCGAAATCTTTTTCAACGATGTAGTTCTAATTGCGACGTGCATTCTGAAGGCGTATGTGTGTTGTACGCATTAAAAACAAAAAGAAATCCTGTTATTGTGCGTTCTGTGTGAGTTTGGAAAGCAGTCTTTTCTTTGGGTATTTTGAAGAAGGAAGAAAAAAAAAACCTTACTGCATATTTTTGAGAATATTGATTTTACTTCGGTAGATGTGATGCAATTCGAGGTGCCTTGGGTGAGCTTTTAGCCCCGCCCCTGTGATTAAACTGGGCTCTCGTGGGGGGTGTCCAGAGGGGGGCATGGGGGTCTGGGATGGGCTCGGAGTCCAGGGGGGCAGGGGGGGGGTTAGTAGACTTCAATGTTAAAGGCTCCCATAGACTTCAATGTTAAAGGCTCCCATAGATTTCAATGTTAAAGGCTCCCATAGACTTCAATGTTAAAGGCTCCCATATACTTTTTGGTTCTTTCGGTAAAGTCACGTAGGTATAAAATAAAATAAATTAAATCACCACGTTTCGGGCGCAACACAAGCGTTCGTCATCAGGTGGGACAACCACAGCAAGAAACAATTGAATCATTTGGCGGGACCCCGGGGTCCCGCAAAGATCAGCTCAATAATTATTATTTTTCAGTCCGCCCCACTCGTGATCTCGACAGCAACGCGCCGCCCGCCCAGACTCGCACCAACAAGCGCCAGCAGCAGGCGGCGATCGACACGATGGGCGCCACCCCACCGGCCAAACGCAAGCCCCGGGGGGCGTCCGCCGCAGTCGCGCGCGGCGACGACGCCGCTCCGGTCAGCCGTCGATCCTCGGCTTCTTTGCCAAGGCGAGCCCGCCGCCCCCCAGGCAGTGAATTGAACGTGCCTATGTAATTTTTCAACTTTTTACGAAACTTAGTGCCCCGAGTAGGTCTCGACGAGGCCAATCGATCGACCACTAGTTTTGTTGTTGGTAAGGCAAGACTCGTGTCGCTACGCGGTTTTTCCCACCCCGCGGCAGTGATGGGACCCCGGGGTCCCGCCAATTGCTTCAATTGCTGAAGTGGGCAAAAGGGCTGCTGTGACAAGAGGCTATATAGGTAAGAGAGGGGGGAGGAGCCAGGGAGGAGAGATAGAGAGAGGGGGGTAGGGGGAGTGGGGCGCTGTCTTGCTCGTTTCCTAATCCCTCTCGCAGCGCTCCACTCCCCCTACCCCACACCCCCCTCTCTCTCTCTTCCCTGGCTCCTCCCCCCTCTCTATCTCTCCTCCATGGCTCCTCCCCCCTCTCTATCTCTCTTCCCTGGCTCCTCCCCCCTCTCTATCTCTCCTCCCTTGCTCCTCCCCCCTCTATCTCTCCTCCCTTGCTCCTCCCCCCCCTCTATCTCTCCTCCCTGGCTCCTCCCCCCTCTCTATCTCTCCTCCCTGGCTCCTCCCCCCTCTCTATCTCTCCTCACTTGCTCCTCCCCCCTCTCTATCTCTCCTCCCTGGCTCCTCCCCCCTCTCGATCTCTCCTCCCTGGCTCCTCCCCCCTCTCTATCTCTCCTCCCTGGCTCCTCCCCCTCTCTATCTCTCCTCCCTTGCTCCTCCCCCCTCTCTATCTCTCCTCCCTGGCTCCTCCCCCCTCTCGATCTCTCCTCCCTGCCTCCTCCCCCCTCTCTATCTCTCCTCCCTGGCTCCTCCCCCCCTCTCTTACCTATAAAGCCTCTTGTCACAGCAGCCCTTTTGCCCACTTCAGCAATAGTTTCTTGCTGTGGTTGTCCCACCTGATGACGAACGCTTGTGTTGCGCCCAAGACGTCGTGATTTAATTTATTTTATTTTATACCTACGTGACTTTACCGAAAGAACCAAAGAGTATGGATCCCTGCATCCACGAAAACTTCAAATCTAGATTGGCTCCCATAGACTTCAATGTTAAAAGCTCTCATTAACTTAAATGTTAAAGGCTCCCATAGATTTCAATGTTAACGGCTCCCATAGACTTCAATGTTAAAGGCTCCCATAGACTTCAATGTTAAAAGCTCCTATAAACTTAAATGTTAAAGGCTCCCATAGACTTCAATTTTAAAGGTTCCATAGACTTCAATGTTAAAAGCTCCCATAGACTTCAATGTTAAAAGCTCCCATAATCTTAAATGTTAAAGGCTCCCATAGACTTCAATTTTAAAGGCTCCCATAGACTTCAATGTTAAAGGCTCCCATAGACTTCAATGTTAAAAGCTCCCATAGACTTCAATGTTAAAAGCTCCCATAATCTTAAATGTTAAAGGCTCCCATAGACTTCAATTTTAAAGGCTCCCATAGGCTTCAATGTTAAAGGCTCCCATAGACTTCAATGTTAAAAGCTCCCATAAACTTAAATGTTAAAGGCTCCCATAGACTTCAATGTTAAAAGCTCCCATAAACTTAAATGTTAAAGGCTCCCATAGACTTCAATGTTAAAGGCTCCCATAGACGTCAATGTTAAAGGCTCCCATAGACTTCAATGTTAAAGGCTCCCATAGACTTCAATGTTAAAGGCTCCCATAGACTTCAATTTTAAAGGTTCGATAGACTTCAATGTTAAAGGCTCCCATAGACTTCAATGTTAAAAGCTCCCATAGACTTCAATTGTAAAGGCTCCCATAGACTTCAATGTCAAAAGCTACCATGAACTTCAATGTTAAAGGCTCCCATAGACTTCAATGTTAAAGGCTCCCATAGACGTCAATGTTAAAGGCTCCCATAGACTTCAATGTTAAAGGCTCCAAAGACTTCAAAGTTAAAGGCTCCCATAGACTTCAATTTTAAAGGTTCGATAGACTTCAATGTTAAAGGCTCCCATAGACTTCAATGTTAAAAGCTCCCATATACTTCAATGTTAAAGGATCCCATAGACGTCAATGTTAAAGGCTCCCATAGACTTCAATGTTAAAGGCTCCCATAGACTTCAATGTTAAAGGCTCCCATAGACTTCAATGTTAAAAGCTCCCATAAACTTCAATGTTAAAGGCTCCCATAATCTTAAATGTTAAAAGCTCCCATAAACTTCAATTTTAAAGGCTCCCATAGACTTCAATGTTAAAGGCTCCCATAGACTTCAATGTTAAAAGCTCCCATAAACTTAAATGTTAAAGGCTCCCATAGACTTCAATGTTAAAAGCTCCCATAAACTTAAATGTTAAAGGCTCCCATAGACTTCAATGTTAAAGGCTCCCATAGACGTCAATGTTAAAGGCTCCCATAGACTTCAATGTTAAAAGCTCCCATAAACTTCAATGTTAAAGGCTCCCATAATCTTAAATGTTAAAAGCTCCCATAAACTTCAATTTTAAAGGCTCCCATAGACTTCAATGTTAAAGGCTCCCATAGACTTCAATGTTAAAGGCTCCCATAGACTTCAATGTTAAAGGCTCCCATAGACTTCAATGTTAAAGGCTCCCATAGACTTCAATGTTAAAAGCTCCCATAAACTTCAATGTTAAAGGCTCCCATAATCTTAAATGTTAAAAGCTCCCATAAACTTCAATTTTAAAGGCTCCCATAGACTTCAATGTTAAAGGCTCCCATAGACTTCAATGTTAAAAGCTCCCATAAACTTAAATGTTAAAGGCTCCCATAGACTTCAATGTTAAAAGCTCCCATAAACTTAAATGTTAAAGGCTCCCATAGACTTCAATGTTAAAGGCTCCCATAGACGTCAATGTTAAAGGCTCCCATAGACTTCAATGTTAAAGGCTCCCATAGACTTCAATGTTAAAGGCTCCCATAGACTTCAATTTTAAAGGCTCCCATAGACTTCAATGTTAAAAGCTCCCATAGACTTCAATTGTAAAGGCTCCCATAGACTTCAATGTCAAAAGCTAGCATGAACTTCAATGTTAAAGGCTCCCATAGACTTCAATGTTAAAGGCTCCCATAGACGTCAATGTTAAAGGCTCCCATAGACTTCAATGTTAAAGGCTCCAAAGACTTCAAAGTTAAAGGCTCCCATAGACTTCAATTTTAAAGGTTCGATAGACTTCAATGTTAAAGGCTCCCATAGACTTCAATGTTAAAAGCTCCCATATACTTCAATGTTAAAGGATCCCATAGACGTCAATGTTAAAGGCTCCCATAGACTTCAATGTTAAAGGCTCCCATAGACTTCAATGTTAAAGGCTCCCATAGACTTCAATGTTAAAAGCTCCCATAAACTTAAATGTTAAAGGCTCCCATAGACTTAAATGTTAAAAGCTCCCATAAACTTCAATGTTAAAGGCTCCCATAGACTTCAATGTTAAAGGCTCCCATAGACGTCAATGTTAAAGGCTCCCATAGACTTCAATGTTAAAGGCTCCCATAGACTTCAATGTTAAAGGCTCCCATAGACTTCAATTTTAAAGGCTCCCATAGACTTCAATGTTAAAGGCTCCCATAGACGTCAATGTTAAAGGCTCCCATAGACTTCAATGTTAAAAGCTCCCATAGACTTCAATGTTAAAGGCTCCCATAGACTTCAATGTTAAAGGCTCCCATAGACTTCAATGTTAAAGGCTCCCATAGACTTCAATGTTAAAGGCTCCCCATAGAGTGAATGTCCTGAAAGGCCTCGTCGTTGACTGAGTTTGGAGAGGAGGCCACGAGGCAGCAGACACACAAAGAGGTCACGAGGCACAGGCATCCTGACGCCGGAATGCTAACGGCGATATCGCCATCGGAAAGTTTAAACAACAAACAAAAAACCGCGTCAACAGCAACTTTGTAAACAACTTGGGCGGCAACGTCAAGCCCGACTCACAGACCTCAAGAGTTCGACGTTTTATTGTTGCCTTCGCTTGCCCTCCCTTTTACACCGTGTCGTACGAGCCCTGTCCCCCCCCCCCCTTAATTACAATTAGATTGCGTCTCTTTAAAATGTGCCTACCGCATTAAACAACAACCAAAAAACAAGTGTCACTAATGTTCTAACAATGGTGGAGTTCACCGCTTCAACAGCAACGACACGCGAGGTGACCTCGCGTGAACTCAAGTCTGAAATGACCGCCGTGGTGTGTTAATTTGTCCGCTCGCGCTGCCACTCTCCGTGCCCACTACTCGGAGCCACCTCTAGAGGCCCTGAGATGACGAAGGCGACGACGGTGATGATTGACCCCCAGGGGTTCACACAGCGACCAAACTCCGCACGCACGGTCGATGCTGCTCCCTCGCTCGCCCGTGCCATTGCGAGGCCTGACGCAAGAGTGGCTGGAGGGAGCGAAAGAAAGTCTCTACACCTACATTGTCATTTATACGCATTCGTTAACCCCCCCCCCCCACACACACACTTCGCTCAAGAACGGCTCACAAGTGATGCCATCACATCTTCCACTCTATTTAAGGAACGAAACAGGAGGATTTTTCCACAAATCTGGCTGTCGCCTGATGAAGCTGGTTGTTATTACTGGCGAAACGTCGTACTCAGATTGTAAATGTTGTGGCTTGGCTCTCCAACACACCGGTGTGCTGTACTCGTCACGAATTGGCATTGACAAACCTTACGAATTGGCTGTGTCGGGTGGTGGCGGGTTTAACGACACACATTTACGCGATGTAACCCCAAAAACACCTCTTATGGTTGAGTAGTTTTGTTGTTGTTGCCTGCTCACCAGCTCGGGGCGTATGGGGGAAGGGGGTGGCACTTGGTTGGGGTTGGCCCATGGGACGATGGGGCTCAGGGTGAGGACTCACGACGAGCGAGGTGACGCCTCGAACCACGGCTTGTCGACTTACGACATCTAACGCCTCGACATTGCAACTGCAATTGCTGCCGAGGCAATCACCGATCCGCCAAATCGCATTGTTGGCCCGGACCGCCGGTGTTTCAGCACCGCAGAGGAAGCGTTCTTCACTCATTTTCGCCGATACGGCGTAGTCAGTTGCGCGAGGGCCTCCACTCCATTAGACACCTTTGGGGGTTTGACAGCAGGCCGATGATGATGGTGATGATGGGGCGGTGTTGTCACTCTTTGTGTTTTGTGTCGAGGGGGGGGGGGGGGGCACGAAAGGCCACCAGGGGCCGCCAGTGGCCCGCGGGACTTGGAATGAAGAACGCTGCCGTACAGGGTGGTCCAGATGTCTTGTGACCCCCCCCAATTGACCCCTACAATTTTCGGCCAATTACAGTCCTTCATAACAGATCCAAGGGTCATATCCCGAAACGCCTCCTGTATATATCCTTTTATATTGTGGCTGTGTATCCACTGTCAACGCAGCAGCAGCATCACCAAATACTTAGTTCCATTGACAACTGTCCTGCTCTAATGAAACGAATAACGTTTACAATTCTACACTTGCGTATGGCAGCAAAATGTTCAGGAGCTAAATGCCATGAGCCGGGAGGTTGGGGGCTATTCACGCCTGTAATTCAGCACTGTGAAGGCAGCGGGAGTTGGTGGGTCACACAAATGCCGTGAAACTCCCTTCCCGTGTGCGTCGAGGTGCCATAACCCTGGCTCGCCACGAGAATGCAGTACAGCAAGTTGACTAATCGCGATCTGTATGAATCTTGTGAAAGGGCCCCTGGTTTTGACCTTCCACGAAGCACGGGGTCCACCCTAAACCGCATTCGCACAAACATTGGCAGACGCGGATACCCGATGCACGAATGAAAAATGCAAAACTCTCCGGTTAGTGTGCGACTTTGGGCATCCAAAACACACCGTACGACGATCCACAAATACGAAGGAGACATCACAGCGATGATGCACTACTCCGCTACTCCTGACGCGGTTGTCTGGCTTGACCACCTGAATGTGAAATGGTAGTTGTTGCTGCGTATCTACATCAGCATCCGTACGAAAGAAGGAGAAGATCTGTACGGGAAGTGGAGCGTTGCACGCTTGCGCGCGTGGGTTCTCTCCGTGTGCTCCGGTTTCCTCCCGCTTGTATCACCAAAGCGACTCATCATTAATTGGCTGAAAAGAATTTCAAAAACAAAACAAAAACCCAACGCGGCAGGACCCTCCTGGAAACGTGCTCTACGACCCAAAGTGTAACTTTCCCGGGTAAATAAGTACATTTCCCACTTACAAAATGTCGAAGTCTGGCTAGCGAGAGAGTTCGTGCCGTTTTGTTCTTCTCCCGTTGAAGGAGCGCAGACCACGGTCGTTGACTGTACGGTCCGTGGTTTGGTTTGCATGGTTTGCGGGTCATGGGTAGTTATATCCCATACTTCACCACGCTGGTTGGGGTGGGCTGGCGAAGCCAGATGAGGGCAGACGCGGGAGCATAGTACAGTACAGCGGAATCATGGATTTTGCTGCACTTCCCTCTACCAGCTAGAACCCCCAGCACTATCCAGGTTCAAAATCCCTGCTTAGCTTCCGAGATTTGATGAGATTGGGCATGGTTTGGCCAACGTTGAGCTCAAGAATCGACACTAGCTATAATTCATCTCGCTAATTCATCTCAATATTTAATCTCGAAATTCACAAATTTTCTGTTAATTCCCCAACCACTTGAAATGCCATCGCTTCAAAACGATGTTCCGGCTACTCTCGCATCTAAATAACAATTTGATGCTAAACTGTCCATTATTTATACACTCACTTTCAGTTACATTTGCCACAAGGCCGTAGCCATGGAGTCAACATTGGTGGGGGAGCAAATCTTCCAGAGAGTCTGGGGGTCCTGCCATATCCTGCCTAAAATATTAATAAATTCACTAACACATAGGATGGACTTTATTTTTTACAATAATGTCTAATAGTGTATTGTATTTACATTGCTCTGTTTTTTCTTCTGTTTTACCTTTTCTTGCTTCATTGTATGTAACGGCAGAGATTAGGGATTAATAAAGTACAACCATAACCACAATCATATAAACATGAATCTATTTTATAGCAATATATTGGGGGGGACATTTTGAGCATATTTGAATTTTGGGGGGGGGGGGGTGTGTCCCCCAATATATATTATAATTACGGCCTGGATTTGACATATAGAGTCCCTGTCAGGTTACATAATAGTGCAATAGTCACTCTATATAGGTTTAATGTTTCTGTAATTTAATCGTATTTGTACTATTATCCGTTAAATATATATATACCCCAGCTGACTCACGCTCCAGGGAATGTATTATTAAACACCGATTTATATTTGTGCAAAATTTTCGATTTCCCTCGTAATTAAGTTATTTTTGTACTGATTTCTGTTCGCTTCATCCCTGTGCGGTACTTTTATTGCTTTTTGCAATTTTAGTGAGACCCGCGTCGACTCTTGCGAATTAGCCTCTAATTCTGGTATCCGGCGTTTCTTGACATTAAACTTCGATTTTAAGTGGCTTTTGGCGAACCATCGAACAAATACGGTGGTCACCGCGTCGCGCGCTTCAAGACGCGTTTCCGCGGCCGTCTGGAACGCTCTTCCGTCCGATGTTAAGGAAGCCACGGGCAGCTATGCACTTTTGAATCTAAATTGAAAACTCATTTCCACACACCGCCGATTATCACGGTTGGCTACGTACGGTGGCGAAATAAGTTCAACATGCGGTACAATACAAACTTGGAACGTTGGGCCAACGTTGGCCCGACGGTTCGTTCTAACCACATGCTAACGTTTGCATTATTACCACACCTGTCAACCCATAGCGTTGAATTTTGAGCTCCATACGACGTACAGGCGTTTCAATACGGGTAAAAATAAATACATTTTTTGTCTATTTGTTTGTGTGTCTCCCTTGTGATGATGGGACTTTGTAGGATTAATGTTGAGATTTAAAAGGGCACGGGGTGACCAACAAAGTCTGAACTGGTCTGCAATAAGAGGTAGGCATTGATAAGGGGTTGACAGGTTTGTAGTAGTGACTGTAATCGTGTTGATTGCGTATTTGTTTGTGTTTCTCCCTTGTGATGGGACTTTGTAGGATGAACGTTAAGATTTTAAAGGGCACGGGGTGACCAACAAGGTCTGAATTGGTCTGTAATAAGGTCGGGCACTGACCAGGGGTTGACAGCTGTGGGTTACGGTCTGTACTTTGACGACTCAACAAGCCACGTGGACTTGGTAGGGGGTAGGGGTGGGGGGGACCCAGCTGGCACTTTACGACCCGGCACGCACAGACATATAAACCTCTTTACGACACAAACGATCACCACTTCACGACCCCCCCACCCTCTCCCGCACCGTGCTTTACGGTAAGCGCCGGCCAAACTCGTTGCTGGCCCGCGATGTCGGGCGGTCGCCTGCACATCAATTTCGTGCGACTTCTCGCAAGGTGCGAGTCGCTGGTCGCGGACAACAGAGCTCACGACTGGCGCCTCGACAAGGTGAGAGGCGTATGCCCCATGACTCTCCCTTAACAAAATATGTCTTAAATAAAAAAAATCCGCCGCGGGAGAGCTTTCGTCCACATACAGGCCCGAGGCGAGGCACGGGGCTCGCCTAGAATTTGGCCGGGGATGGGCGCGGGTCGCCCGGCGGGAGTGGAGCAGCTGAGGTGCCCCCCCCCCCTGGTTGTGGAGTTCCATGTCAGGGCTTGATCGCGATGTTACCAAGTCAGGCGACTTTCTCCTTGAAGGCTGCCAATGAGAGAGTGGACGCGTGTGTCTCACCGTCTCTGTCGCGCTGTCTTTTATTTGTCTGCAAGGCGATGTTCTCACCGATGTGTCCGAGTGTGTCTGTGTTTTTTTAAATGATTATTATTAAATATTTGTATCGACGTGTTCAGCTCTGTACCTCTTAATAAGATGTTTAACTTGTAACGCGCACGGTATTTGTTCACACTCGAGGAGAGAGAGAGAGAGCACGACTGTTGAGACGCGACGAGGCGCCACATGGCAGCTCTGCGCTTCTGCGGCCGTCTGGAATGTTCCAGCTTCCGATACTCGGGACGCCACGGAAGCTATGCACTTTTAAGTCGTCATCTAGATTGACAACTCGTGCCTTACAGAACTGCTTTTTGCGTTTAGTTTGTTCTTCCCCACGCACCTCCGATTAGCACGGTTGGCTTAATGTACGGTGCGAAAGAAGTTCAACAAACATAGGTGGTGAGCCGGCGCCAGCAATTGCACCAAGCTCTGCAGCCCTTTGTATGTGAAGGTGTGTTTGGCCACTGATGAGTATTCACGCCTGTTGGACTAAACGCGCGTGCAAGGATATTGTGTGATTCGCATTCCTGCCACAACTCCTTATCAGTGCCTTACCTTAATAGAGAACCAAGTGAGACCTTATTGGTCACCCCGTGCCCTTGTACATCTCAACGTTCATCCTACAAAGTCCCATCACAAGGGAGACGCACAAACAAATAGACGAAACACAAAAAAATTTATCCCGTATTGAAGCGTCCGTATGCCGTATGTACCTGAGAACTCAATTTCCCTGTACAATAATAAGGGTAAACCTTATGGGTTAACTGGTGTGGATTCACTAACCACCCGATGTAACAATGTCAAGACAGCTCTATCCACATGTGTGTGTGTTGTTTAATCGTCTGTTTTCGTGTCTGTCTATGTATCTACGAATCTCTGTAACATTTTCTTTGTCGCTATACGTTATCCTGTCTCGGTGTTTTAGTTACGTCTAACCAGGAGTCGGTAATCGGGATAACCGGATATCCGGCTGCTGCAAAATGCTGCAGGCTGCCACCTTGTGCTGCCCTGCAGGCTGCCACCTTGTGCTACCCTGCAGGCTGCCACCTCGTGCTGCCCTGCAGGCTGCCACCTTGTGCTGCTGCCCTGCAGGCTGCCACCTTGTGTGCTGCCCTGCAGGCTGCCACCTCGTGCTGCCCTGCAGGCTGCCACCTCGTGCTGCCCTGCAGGCTGCCACCTTGTGTGCTGCCCTGCAGGCTGCCACGTTGTGTGCTGCCCTGCAGGCTGCCACCTTGTGTGCTGCCCTGCAGGCTGCCACCTCGTGCTGCCCTGCAGGCTGCCACCTCGTGCTGCCCTGCAGGCTGCCACCTCGTGCTGCCCTGCAGGCTGCCACCTCGTGCTGCCCTGCAGGCTGCCACCTTGTGTGCTGCCCTGCAGGCTGTCACCTTGTGTGCTGCCCTGCAGGCTGTCACCTTGTGTGCTGCCCTGCAGGCTGTCACCTTGTGTGCTGCCCTGCAGGCTGCCACCTTGTGTGCTGCCCTGCAGGCTGCCACCTTGTGTGCTGCCCTGCAGGCTGTCACCTTGTGTGCTGCCCTGCAGGCTGTCACCTTGTGTGCTGCCCTGCAGGCTGCCACCTTGTGCTGCCCTGCAGGCTGCCACCTTGTGCTGCCCTGCAGGCTGCCACCTTGTGTGCTGCCCTGCAGGCTGCTTGAGCGGCAGCCTTTCGAACTTATCGAACTTATCAGCCACATCAGCGGCTCCGACCTATTAATAAAACTCCGCGTTCAAATCCAATAAAATTTATTTTATACATTTGTGGCGCCCATTGGAAAACATAAACACTGAGATATCTCAGAATATTGAAGTCGCCCCCCCAAGTCAAAATCCTGGCTCCGCCCCTGCGTCTAACGTGCTCTCCCTTGGCTGATGTTTCGTTTCGCGCTGCCCATGCATTGAGTGTCAGCGCGTCTCCGGGATCTTTCTTCTTAGCTCACTCCTTCCTCGCGACACGCATGTTATAATTGGACCTAAAGTATTATGAATTTGCACAGTGAAATACTTTTTTAATTGATGCATATATAAAGAAAAGCCATTTGGTGATACGCACAAGTTGGAACCGCTGGGGTCCTCATGAGGCTGCAAGGGAACTTGTAATGCCACAGTAATTCGTAAGAACTCATTACGCTGTGTTATTCATGCATTAGTCTGTTGTGTTTGAACGTGTGGAAAATACAATTTGTGTAGTACAGTGGTACCTCGGAAATCGAACGCCCCAGAACTCGAACAATTCGCTGTTCGAACACTGTTTTGGAACGAATTAAGTTCGATCAACAAGCTACCACTGTACTTAATATTGTATTTATTTTAGTTAATACTTTGTTTTATGTCCTAGTACATTGGAGCATTACAAGATCAACTAGCTGAATTGAAAAGGCAAGCGAGGTATGGTTTTACGAGAATTTCATTTATTCAAATGACTGTAAATTTAAAGCTTTCAACTAAAATAAATAAATTTTTGTTTCAAGTTTGTTGATTGTAAAAGTGATCTAAACAAGACTTAATACTGTCATTAAAATAGACTAACTTTTATTGTTTTTTATCAGCAGTGAACACATTATGTAGATAACGTGCGAATATATATCAGTATAAGGTAGGACATTTGCGAGGTCAAATACTACGCTTACATTCTTCTAACTCACAGCCACAACTTGCTTTGCATTCTTTTTTTACTTTATAGATTTATAAAAAAATGTTTTAATGATGTGACAGCGCTTTGTGTTGCATTATTTGTGCCAGAAGGGCACCACATTTTATCCAAAACTGAATTGACTTCACTTTTTTTCTGTAGCAAACCATCTCCAGAATTGCTGAAGGAATACACAACCAAAGTGGAGTTCCTAAAAGGACTTTTGCTGGCGGAAAAGCTGGTAGGTAAAAATGAACTGCCGCGTTTCTACATTTAAAAATGTACACTTTAAGGCAGTATAGAGTACTACAAAGACGAGCCATTTCCTGATATGCCACCCATTGTATACATATTGACACATTTTTCACATTTCTCACATTAACATCATGCTAATCTCTCACATTAACATAGCCACGTCCGTGCCCTCATTGAGGAGGCCGCTCTCCTCCTATCTTACAGTTACATGCTAATTTCTCACATTCACATCATGCTAATCTCTCACATTAACATCGCTAGCCCCGGCCACTTCTTTATGACCCTTTGGCTACACCCATTTCAAACCTTTTAGAAGTCTGCCTCAGCAGCAGACCAAGGCTTTCCCACCTGATGACGGACACTTGTGTTGCGCCTGAAACGTGATTTTATTTTATTTTATACCTACGTGACTTTACCGAAAGAACCAAAGAGTATTGACGAATCTGTTTAGTTTTGAGTATGAAGACAATTTTTATGCTTTTTCACAATTATATTCCAGTTGTATTTTTAAGCTTCAAATCACGAGACAAAACACATTTCCAGTCGGAACCCGACAGTCAGCATCGCATCACCCTCTGTCATAGAATGGCTCCAGATGTCGCAAACACTTCTCATGAGGTCACTTTAACAGGCTTACTTATCCACACCATGGGAGGAACTTTAAACATCCTGCAAAGGTTCATCGTACGTCAATCAAATTTAATTCTCAGAGCTGGAGTTTAGCCAATTTTAAGTGAAAAAACAAATGTGTTCTGTTCATTATAAATGTTTTTGGGTTAGATCGCGTTATTTAAAAATGTGTCGTAACCCTCCACCACCCGACAAGGCCAATCGGCAAAAAAAGTGTCACGTTGACAAAAGACAAAATAGTTCACTACTTTAGCCCACCGGTGTGTTGTAAGAGTGAATCCACAACATTTACAGTTTTTGAGTACGACGTTTCGCTGGTAATTACATCCAGCATCATCGGGCAATTCGCCAGAATGGTAAAGCCCTCGCTTGCTCCCGGTCTTAAATAGAGCAGTAGGGTAACGTCACCATTTAACTCATTCAGGTGCAGTGATTTGAGGCGGAGGGAGGGGTATTGTAATTATCTAATCGATTGGTAATCAGTCAATGGTTATGATTAGTAATGAGTTGTAGATTAGTGTTCTGTTCTCTGGCGCAGTGAGATCAACTCGTTCTACTTGAAAGCTCAGTTTTACTACAGGGGGCTGATTACCGGGATTCGAACCCAGCATCTCAACAGCTGCTGGCTCAATCCTCTTGACTCCGAAGCCACCCACCCACCCACCCACCCTAGCCACCACCTTCCAGTGTGTGTGCGCGCTTGTGACTATGCAAAAGCTTTCTGAGCAGCATGGCCCGACCTTTTGTGGATTTGTATTCCTTATTCACAGCCAACAGCATCTGAGAAGGCTTTGGCAGCACAGTTGCTAGCTCCAGGACGCACGCCCACCACGCCCAATGAAGTTACGCCGACCAGCAAGACTGCTCATCTGCAGGCCAGCGCTCGCTATCATGGGGAGATGCGTGACGAACTGCTGGGATGCACCGTGAGTATTTTTGTTGCCGTTGCTAAAGTTGGATAGCGTTCACCGCGACACAGTGCTCGGCAGTAGATCACTGACGGAGTAATACGAACACGAGAACAGCGGTTCTCGCCCTGTGGCGCGCGCAGGCCGTTGTTGCTCTTCCACCCGCAAGGCCATGGGAAGTGGTCCGCGGAACTGTTTGAGTTGCTAAGATTTTCAGCAGTTTCTATTTGAGAACAATGTTGTTTGTGAATTGTGGCCCACGAATATTGTTTTGAGTGAGGATTGCCAGAGGTCCGCTGGTACAGAAAGGTTCGGCAACCACTTTTTACGAGTGTCTTGAACCTTCACTCGGATTCCTAGTAAGCATTTTGCCTCCAGTGATGCCAAATCAGGATCTATTATGGAACATTTCCGACAAATATTGCGTGCGATGAGTTGTTGAAAAAACACATTGTTTAGATTTTACTTTGCAGGATTTTTTGGAGGTAATGCACGGTTGTGCAGATGTAGCTCGCCGACGCGTTTCCCGGCTGTTGCCGCATGTTGTCCAGCGTGATGTCCGACGTTTCGCTCCACGTCCTGGAAGTTTTTTTTTGGTTTTAAGCCATTTAATTCCTTGAAAACGCACCCAACGTCGGACATCGTGCAACAAAACGCAACACAATACAAGCGGAACAACCCAGAACGCTTCAAAGAACTGCTTGTAGGTTTGACCTTCCTGGGATTCTCAAGAGGTGTGAATTATGAGCTTAACTTGTGAAATGAACGTTAACATTTCGCAAGGTTGTCTTGCAACACATTTTAATGGCAACTCAATTTACATTGTTTCATTGGCGGCCTACTCTCTACGTGCATTACGCGGTACAGAATTACTGTTTTGAGCATTTTGCAGCATTTCTTGGCTGAATTTGTAACATAAATTAGATCATTCAGAGAGACAGAATAGCAATAACATCTATCAATTAAGTTTTTAGAAGAAGAAAGCAATGAACCCTGTGGTCTACTAAAGTGATTATTTTTTTCCAATCCTTTTTTCTTTAGACCCACGAGTTTGGAAATGGTAAGTGGAAATGTGTAAATAACTACGCACATTTGATTAATAACAGTCGCAAACATAATGAGGTTTATTTTTTTCATACTTAAAACCCTTCACAGTGTTTAATTGATGTTTGTTTTCGTTTAGGCGTAAGGAAACGAACGTGAGTATACATTTTGCTCCCCTCCGAACATTCCTCGTTAAAAATGTAACCGCCAGTTTTTTTTCCATCTCTTTAAATAGATATAAATGCGCCAGGCTATTAAGGCTACACGACGATCTTCGCAGTGCAGATTTGGACTTGTTAATCGTGATTGTATTGTTCCTACTAAAAATGAACGCATTTAGTTTTCTCACTTCTTATACATGTACAGTTGGAGCTAAATGCCAGGGACTAACGATGCAATATTGTGCGATGCAGTGCTGGAAGGGCGACGGATAATCAGCCGGCAGACATCGACGCGGTGTTGCAGCATCACAACAAAATGCAAGAGAAGCTCGCGGATGAGATGCTGCTTCTTGCACGCAACCTCAAGAACACGTCGCTTATTGCCCACAACATCATCCAGCAAGACAACAAGGTATACGGTAGAGTGCCTGGAAATACGTGTGCTCTGGGAGATAGCAGTTTTAAACATTCCGCTTTGTTGAAATGATGATAACGTGTACCGCTAGTTCCGTTTAGTTTTTCCGTCAAAAATCACGTTACTTTATCGTGAAGCATTCTGGGTAAATGTTTTTAAAAATCATTTGTTGTCTTCGCAAGCATCAACGTGACGAGTAATTATTTAACAATTCACCTCTGCTTTGGGCGCACTGCCGGGTGGTGATGGCTATGCACGTGACATGTAATCCAGCACCGTGTGGAGGCAGCAGCGAGGGTCGGTGGATCACACAAACGTGAAACACCCGTGCCGTACCCTGGCTCGCCAGGAGAATGTGGCCTCACCCGTTGCATCGGAATGAGATGGCGTTGCCCGCTCGCACGTGTATGGGTTTTCTCCAGTCGCTCCGGTTTCCTCGCACCGGCTCACCACCTGGCTGCCTTGACTGTGCTTTCTTACGCCTCTTGAGTCATTATCTCTCTTGGCGAGTGAGCAAATACTGCCCGGCGTGTTACAATTTTTTTTATTACTATAATGATTCAAACCTCCTTTTGGAACACGGTGATGGCAAGGCTCTGTAAGGCTGTCCGAGATCGGTCATCTAAGTCTCCTCGCCATCACGCCGGCAATTCCGACACTGGCTCGTATCTCTCAACCTCCACGCCCCCCCCCCCCTTCCCCCCCTTACGCCGCCCCCCTCTGCGTCTTCGCCTCCAGACGATGACGCAGTCGCTCAAGATGGCGGACGTCAACTACGAGAAGCTTAAGGTGGAGTCCGAGCGTCTGGAGCAGCACACGAAGCGCGCTGCCAACTGGTGGATATGGATCATGCTGGTGGTCGTCTGCTTCATCTTCATCACGATGATCCTCTTCATACGAATCTTCCCCAAGCCCAGATAACGCGGCCAAAAGAGGCCCCGTGAGGAGGCCGCTCGCCAGAGTGCCACCACAGCCTGCGCCCGAAACATTCTGTTTGCAAGTCGGCCCAGCACAGGACCCGTTAAGTTACGCTTCCAACAACAGCAGTGAGCTATGAAAACATGAACTCGCCTCCCCCCCCCACCCCCACCTCAAGTTCCAAAGGGAATCTCAAATAATAGTAAACTGAACCTGTTTCCGTTTCAAAGTGATTATCTACTCCAATACGCATTGAGGTATTGTGTTTTCCCCATCTACAGCTCTGAGTCAGTGGTGAAAATTCTGCTTTCCTAATGGGGGGGGGGGGGGGCGGCTAGTCCCGTGTTCTTCATTGCAAGGCCCGCAGGTCACTGGCGGCCCCTGGTGGCCTTTAGTGCGACCCCTGCCGGGCCCCCCCCCCCCCCCCAGCAATACACAACACGTGACACAACACCCTTCACAGGCGGTGTGGTGGCCCTCCCACTCACGCTGCCTTATCGGCGAAAGTGTGGCCCCCCCCCCGCCCCCCTCTGAAAATTGGTGAAGAAAACACTGGGCTCGTCGATCCATAGGAACAACCACTGTTGACTTCCTCACGAAGTGGTACTAATGTTATCGACCCCAATGGGATGATGGGCCAAGTCTCAACCCCCAACCAGGATTTAAAATCCAGACCTTTCGGATTGCGAGCCGCTCTACTACCGAGCTTGATGCTGAATATTGTTTGGGTTTTGTGATAATGCTTCGATGCTTTAACATCAGTTATTAAAATCAAGACATATGCATCAAGTTGCGTGTGCAAAAACCAGTGTTTTTTGAGTCCTGTTCATGTACAGTCAATGTTTAATATTCGCGGGGTGGTGGGAATACTTTCCTGGAGAACGGCGAAAATATTAAATCTGCGAAATAATAATAATACTTGAAGCTTGTGGGGAAATTAGGGTAAGGAGCCATAAATATATGTTACGATTAAAACCATGTGAACTATGTTTATATCATCATTTTACACATTGTAGAGTATTGTGTCATTTAACTTGCCAACGACAATAATGATGCACGCCAACATTTAAAAGTACAGATATAAATACAAGTGAAAGAAAGCACTCGCGTCTACCGTCAACGGTGCGGCAGACAGAGGCGGACGAGGGAGAGCGTCGCATCGGCACCGTGGTGGCGAGATGTTAACTACCTCGCCCGGTGTACAGTAGGTCGTGGGTTCAACCCTGACACTTGACGCCTGCTGTATATTTGCAGTTTGCCTGTCTCTCTCCCCGTGGGGGTCATGTCGGGTTTTCCCCTCGACATTTGGGATAAACATCACGCGTTTGGAGTATTCGGCTGCAGCTGTACATTTCCACGTGAAAAGCCGCTTTGTTGACCCATTCATTTGTGGCAAGGTCGGCTTCTGGAAAAGTGATATAGCTTCAGCGAGCCTTTCCTGGTAAAATAATAAAATTAAGTTTATAGTTTAGTTTTTACTTTTGCCGTCTCACAATCTACACCGCTCCCATGTGCCACAACTTGTCAGTAGCGTGCTACGAACGCGAACATTAAAAATACAACCCCATAAATGTCAAATAGCACTATGACATTTCCGCGAATGTGCAAAACCGCGATAAAATACCCCCGGCGAATATTAAGGGATTGCTGTTCAACGATGAGCAGTTGCAATCATTTCTTAAACATCGCAGCATCTCAAAGCGGCTCGTGTTGAAATGGGAAATACAAAACGCATCGGAGCAAAATGCGCAGCAGAGATACCGAAGACGGATTAAGATGCAAATAATATAATAACTTGCGTTGATCCCCCCCTCCCCCCGTGCCCAATATTATCCATTAAATACGTTGCCTTAACTTTCGGGAAGACTATATCACCCCTAATGCTGTGCGTGTGTCTACCCAAACATTTAAAGTTGTATTTCGAAAAATTGCATGTTGAATGTAGAAAGCAGATTAAGAAAATCCTTAGTCCCAAATTGTCATGATTCGAGCAGTTTATGCATGTTCTACTCGTTACATCATTTTCGTCATACTCGTAAAAATCACTTGACAATATTGCAAATGTAGATATTATTTAACTCGTTATTGGCGGCGGAGGCGACGACGACGATAACATCGCCTAAGTTTTGTGCTGTGTCGGTGTGGATGTGCTCTTTTAAAAACGTGTCAATTTAAAATTGCCTGCGTAGCGTCTGCGTGTTGTCTAGATCTTCTAAAAGCGTTCTATTTCATGAATCGCTGTAAAAACTGAACACCTTTTAAAGATCCATGAGGTTTTTTTTGGGTTAGATCGCGTAAATATTTAAATGTGTCGTTAAACCCGCCACCACCCGACACAGCCAATTAGTAAGGTTTGTCACGTAAACAAAACGTGGCCAATTCGTCACTAGTACAGCACACCGGTGTGTTGGAGAGCCAAGCCACAACATTTACAATCTGAGTACGACGTTTCGCCAGTAATTACAACTTGATTCATCAGGCGGCAGCCAGATTTTACTAATTTGCTGTGTCAGGTGGTGGCGGGTTTAACGACACATACGATCTAACCCAACATAGATTTTTTTTTTATTATGGATGATATTGGTCGTGAAAGGCTACGTGTTAAAGCTTTTAAAGATGTCCACGAATAGCAGTGCATTTTAGCATTTTTGAGACAGGAGGTTGAGCTCTTCACGTAATTTTTGACATCGGGTCAAAACTGCGCGTGCCTGTGTAAAACAGGAGAGAATGTGTTGATTGTGGGACAGCAGCATCGTGCAATAGTATGTTGTTAGTTTTTGTTGTTGCGATGTACATACAAAGTGTTGGAATTGAAATTCGCACTTGCAACCAAACACTGCAAGGAAAATTTACATTTCGGCGAGTGAAAATTTCGGTAAATTTAAAATGAAAATTTTTGGTGATGGTAATCGTACCACGTGTGAAGTATTGCTCCAAAACAGTCGACAATCGCATGTCTAGAGCCAGTTATGAATATCTCATTTCAAGACACTCTTACTTTAAAGTTACTTTCCAGCCCTGTATCGATCCACTGCTGGATGAAGACCTCCCCCCCCCACACTTGATCGTGGGCATGCTGGTGGTTCGTGCGGGTTAATGAAGGGGTCAATCGATCAATATTTATTTGACGGGCCAATATCGCACCTCGATAAAGTAGGCATAGGTGCAGAGTACAGCAGAACGGTACACGGGGCATCGAGCAACAGGAATGAGAATAAACTCCTTTAACAAAAGTTATTTTTTTCAAACGGTTTTTATTAACAACTTCGTTTAACTCACGGTCGAGAAGTACGTCAGTGATGCGGCACGTGCTCCCACATCAACGCTTACTTGAATTAATTGGTTATTTTATACATGAATCTTCAAAGTACAACTTATGTTTGTGTGGATTGGGGGTGCCCGTAACTCGTTGACACGGAGCGTGCGCGCCTGAGACGCGTGGCGCCTGCTTCTTGGGCGAGGCGATTCGAAAGTTCAGGGGCCTGCGACGTTTTTGACCTACACAAATATATAAATAGTAAGGCGTCCATACAAAATTGTAAATTGCTTTAAAGTCGCGAATTTAATTGATTAATTGATGCCGACTTTGTCACCGGATCTGAGTACGTGTTTGCAAAATGTGGAATTTATTGGACAACGGGAAGTGGACGAAATGTTGATTACAGGATTTGACCACGACAAACAGAGGAATCAAGTTCAGGTAAACCGTTGAAAAAAAACCCCGTCACAACCTCGGCGGCTAACACCGACTGAGCATGTACAGTGAGGGAAAAAAGTATTTGATCCCCTGCTGATTTTGTACGTTTGCCCACTGACAAAGAAATTATCAGTCTATAATTTTAATGGTAGGTTTATTTGAACAGTGAGAGGCAGAATAACAACAAATAAATCCAGAAAAACGCATGTCAAAAATGTTATAAATTGATTTGCATTTTAATGAGGTAAATAAGTATTTGACCCCCTCTCAATCAGAAAGATTTCTGGCTCCCAGGTGTATTTTATACAGGTAACGAGCTGAGATTAGGAGCACACTCTTAAAGGGAGTGCTCCTAATCTTAGCTTGTTACCTGTATAAAAGACACCTGTCCACAGAAGCAGTCAATCAGATTCCAAACTCTGCACCATGGCCAAGACCAAAGAGCTCTCCAAGGATGTCAGGGACAAGATTGTAGACCTACACAAGGCTGGAATGGGCTGCAAGACCATTGCCAAGCAGCTTGGTGAGAAGGTGACAACAGTTGGTGCGATTATTCGCAAATGGAAGAAACACAAAAGAACTGTCAATCTCCCTCGGCCTGGGGCTCCATGCAAGATCTCACCTCGTGGAGTTGCATTGATCATGAGAACGGTGAGGAATCAGCCCAGAACTACACGGGAGGCTCTTGTCAAAGATCTCAAGGCAGCTGGGACCATAGTCACCAAGAAAACAATTGGTAACACTACGCCGTGAAGGACTGAAATCCTGCAGTGCGCGCAAGGTCCCCCTGCTCAAGAAAGCACATATACATGCCCGTCTGAAGTTTGCCAATAAACATCTAAATGATTCAGAGGACAACTGGGTCAAAGTGTTGTGGTCAGATGAGACCAAAATAGAGCTCTTTGGCATCAACTCAACTCGCCGTGTTTGGAGGAGGAGGAATGCTGCCTATGACCCCAAGAACACCATCCCCACCGTCAAACATGGAGGTGGAAACATGCTTTGGGGGTGTTTTTCTGCTAAGGGGACGATGGACGGGGCCATGTACCGTCACATCTTGGGTGAGAACTTCCTTCCCTCAGCCAGGGCATTGAAAATGGGTCGTGGATGGGTATTCCAGCATGACAATGACCAAAAACACGGCCAAGGCAACAAAGGAGTGGCTCAAGAAGAAGCACATTAAGGTCCTGGAGTGGCCTAGCCAGTCTCCAGACCTTAATCCCATATAAAATCTGTGGAGGGAGCTGAAGGTTCGAGTTGCTAAACGTCAGCCTCGAAACCTTAATGACTTGGAGAAGATCTGCAAAGAGGAGTGGGACAATCCCTCCTGAGATGTGTGCAAACCTGGTGGCCAACTACAAGAAACGTCTGACCTCTGTGATTGCCAACAAGGGGTTTGCCACCAAGTACTAAGTCGTGTTTTGCAGAGGGGTCAAATACTTATTTCCCTCATTAAAATGCAGATCAATTTATAACATTTTTGACATGCGTTTTTCTGGATTTTTGTGTTATTCTGTCTCTCACTGTTCAAATAAACCTACCATTAAAATTATAGACTGATAATTTCTTTGTCAGTGGGCAAAGGTACAAAATCAGCAGGGGATCAAATACGTTTTTTCCTCACTGTATGTATGTATATGTTGAACTTTGTTCGCGCCGTATGTGGCTCAACAAAAAAGCCTTTCTAAAAAAAAAATCGTTTTCAATCTCGATTTAAAAGTGAAGCGCGCAGAGCTCCAGTGGATTCCGAATATCGGCAGGAAGAGCGGTGATGACCGCGGTGCCCAGGACCGGTTCGGATATCAGCTCGCCAACTGGTAAATCTAAGGCAGGTTGCAGGGTTCATAGTGTGTTGCATGAGCCCTGTAAGCATGAGGTGCCACGTATATTCTTTTGTTTTACAAATGAAATGTTGAATATAATGTTGCGTCTTTCGGTTCACTGGCCTCTAGGTTTAATAAAATACTTAACCTACCATTTGTGGTTTTCGGTGTACCAACGGGCAAGCAGTGAAATTGACACAACCGAGTGACCGATTTAGGCCTAAATATGACTCATCAGTCGAGTCCTGGCATCGATGTTCAACAGCTGTACACTCTCCGCTTGACCACCTGAATCTGAAACTAGTTGTTGTTGCTCTACATCTACAGCAGCCGTACGAAAGAAGATCAATGTTCGCCTCTTGCTATCTGCCTCCCAAGAGCTTCATACATGCTGCAGAGGGCTTATTGCCTCCTGAGTTCAAAATACATTGGTTCAAGCCCCGGGTTAGATTATATTTAAAATATGAAATTGACTCTCGGTCATATGTACCGTACCAAGACTCGTACAGAGACGGCCTCGCGTAGCTCAGTTGGGATCTGTAGTCTGGGAGCCTAGGTTCAAATCCAGCTACAAAGTATTGCCTCGTCGTCTGCTCGGAAACCCGCTTTATAACGGGATGGCACAATCTGCGTCGTGAAAAAAGTGTTCCCTTCGAGGAGAACCGCGTTGTGTGAGTAAGCGTTCAATGAGAACTTATATATATTTTAACATTTAAAGCATTTATATTGATTTGAAGCTTCCGTGACTGGTTCTTTCGGTAAAGTCACGTAGTTAGAAATAAAATAAAATAGTCTACAAAACTGAGTTGTACCTGCGGTCGCAGTTACAGTGGGTAAACGAAACGTCGTCTCGGACCGTGTTCGCGAGCACAAGGCAGATCTGAAACACGGCAGAACCAATTCCTCTGCCGTAGCTGACCATTGTTATAACGCTGTGGGCTCGCATGATATTGTTTTTTTCCGAGACCAAGGTGCTCTGCAAACCTTCGGACTACTATCAAAGTTTTGTTCATGAAGCCATCCAGATATATAAACATAGACATAACTTCAACCGAGAAGATGGATACAAATTGAGCAATCATTGGAAGGATGTTATTAACCAGGTAAAACCTTAACTGTTTATGGTTGTTCCATCATATCTGCCGGGTACTAGTCCATTTTTCCGAGTTAATTTCCCCCCACATCCCCAGCGTTCCCAGCCTCCCACTTCCAGCCCCGTCCACTCCCCCCCCCCCCCCCAGCTTCACGTCCTCCCCCTAGCGCTCACGCAGCGCCCCCCCCCCTCTCTCCCTCCCCCCTTCCTCCTTCCCCCTTTATTACCTATATAACCTCTTGACACGGCAGCTCTCTCGCCCACTGCATTGGCATTGTAGCTGCATTGGCATTGCTGCTGCATTGGCATTGCTGCTGCATTGGCATTGTTGCTGCATTGGCATTGTTGCTGCATTGGCATTGTTGCTGCATTGGCATTGTTGCTGCATTGACATTGTTGCTACATTGCCATTGTTGTTACATTGGCATTGTTGCTACATTGGCATTGTTGCTGCATTGGCATTGTTGCTGCATTGGCATTGCTGCTATATTGGCATTGTTGCTTCATTGGCATTGTTGCTACATTGGCATTGTAGCTACATTGGCATTGTTGCTACATTGGCAT